TATACTTAAAATCTAAATAATTATATTGTGAATATTTTATTTTGATTTATTTTGGGAGAGGGGTCACTCATAATAATTATATGAGTTTTTAAATTTTGTTGAACGAGAAAATACAAGGAAATAACCGATAATTAAAAAATATGAGGTACGCCCCCCCTACCGTGCCTACTCAAACACCGGCAGTGGTGTGAACTATTCAGAGGATCTTAAAGTTCCTGTTCCCAAATTTTTAGCAATTTCGAGATGTCATTTTAGTAACTTATAATATTTTGAAATTTACTTATATAGTTATAAAAACAACTTCTTAATAATTAGTTAGGTAGTTATTGGATATGGCGTTAGGTTAGATTAATCAGGGTATCGGGTTCAATCAATACCCTACTGTAGCAAGTTACAAAATTCCGTTTGTTTGCATTTTTTTTATTAAAAAAATAAATATTGAAAAATATCATTTTTTAAATATTTAATAATCGAAAATCCCGTAGACATCCATATTTAATAAATATTTCTAAATATTATTTAAATGAAAAATATGAAAAATTAAAACAGTTTATAAATCATTTCAATAAAATTAGAATCTTTGTGAAAATTATTTTTGCTATATGATGTGTATGTTTTTGATGAACTACAAGTGTTCAGATTTTTTTAAAAAGAAATACGCAATATTTATTTTTGAAAATTGTATTTTGTATATTTGGTCTAATATTGATATAAACTTTACGTAAGTTTTATGCCTATAAACATTTCAATCATTATACTCTAAAATCTGGTTGTTCTAAGGCTGGTAGTATTTTTGGTGTAAAAAGCATAACACCTATAGAATGTAAATTATAATTATAGAATAAAAAGTAATAATTTGTAAGCGTACTGTGTATAAGTTTCGCGGCGTGTTATTAGTGAACCACTACTCCCCTCCAACCAAAATTCCTTTAAATGCCTAAATCTAACTTTAGTTCATTCAAAAATTATGCCCTGGTGTATCAAGTGTATTACGTATCTCAAAGGATTTTGTAGTTAGTTGGTTATTTAGGGAGATGATGTGTTGATTTTCAGGGGGCTTACATAGTAATTAGGAAAAACCGGAAAAGAAATTTTCGAAAAACTACGAAATTGCCTAAACATTACCTATTTCATTGTTTTTAATTTTTACATTTATGTTTTGTTCAGGAAATATTGTTAAAATCAAAAAACAATAAGTAACTTTGTTAAATTTTAAAACTATATTCTCTTGTAAGTAGTCGTTTTTTGATGTTCCAAGTAATTTTTATAACAAATGTGAAACAAAAAATGAGTTATATGTAGCATTGTTTTAATATAATGTATAATATTATTTCCATTCATGGGGTAGTTTCCTACGCCTCTCAAGAACCTTNTAAAATTAATGTTTATTACCCCCCTTCCTCCATTTATTTTTATGTAATAGGTTATAAAAGCATGCGCTTTAAAAAACGATTTGAAAAGTTTTCCATACGGCGATCGTACAATAGTAGGTGAAAGGGGTGTAACTCTTAGCGGTTGGCAAAGGGCAAGAATAAACTTGGCAAGATAAATCGAACATGGCTAATTAATTGTAATTATTTCATTTTAACAATATATTTTAGAGCAATATACAAAAAAGCAGATATTTATTTATTAGATGACCCATTATCGGCTGTTGATACTCGTATTGGCAAATATTTGTTTGAAATGTGTATAAAAGGCAAGTTTTTTTTAAATGGATTTTGTCGTAATAAATCTATTGATGTATTTTCAATACTTAGGTTACCTCAAAGAAAAAACATGTATTCTCATTACACATCAGATCCAATTCCTGGCCAATGTAGATCACATTTTGCTAATGGAAAATGTAAATCCCAATTTATATGATTATATTATAATTAATAGTACAAAGCGCATAGCTATTATAAGACAACAATTATAATTTACTTTAATTGAAAATGTTCTTATTTTTCGTTCAAGGCTAGTATTAAATCTACCGGATCTTATCACGAACTTATAGACTATGGTTTTGATTTTTCAAAATTGCTCGGATTTCCAGAAGAAACTATTGTCGAATCGCATATAAAATGTGAAAATGCAAATAAAAAAAAGCTGAATACAAACCATACTTTATCGCGTTCTGGAGATAATATTAAATCATTTATTAACAGAGATACAGTAAAACCTATGAAAGAAGAAGAGGCCCATTGTTCCGGACATGTTTCGAAAAAGATTTATCTATCGTATTATTCTTCCTGCGGGAGCATTATTAAAATTGTTTTTATAGTACTTATATTTACTTTAGGTCAAGTAATAACTGCATTTGATGATATATGGATTAGTGTTTGTTAATACAGATATAATTTTTTAGCGTACACACATGTATACGCGTGTAAAATGCATTTAAAGTATAGTAGTACATTTTTAGGGTAAACAAAGAAGAAAACATTTTTCGCAACGTGAACAATACGATTTCACTCAACAGTACGTTAATGGATCACGGTTCATTTGATCAGAGAAATAATTGGACATCAAATTTGCGTTTTATCCGTATAATAGTAAATACCGTTATTACTGTGGCATTCGTAATGATTATTATCGTAAGATCGGTAATATTTGTATCGGCGTGCACAAGTGCTTCAATAAATTTACATAATACAATGTTTAACGCTGTAACTAGAACGTCTATGCGTTTTTTTCACACTAATTCGTTAGGTAATATTATAAAGTTGATACATCGCCTACATTATGATACATTTATGATAATATAGATATTTGTTTACAAAGGACGGATTTTTAATCGTTTTTCAAAGGATATAGGCGCCATCGATGAAAGTTTACCATTCATTTTATTATACTGTTTACAAGTAACGAATGATTATGCTAAATTATGCTAATGTTGGTTTGATTACTAACTCCTTTTAAAGGTAAATTTTCAAAATAATCTAACCACTTTTAAACAATTTAGAGGTATTTTAAGGTTACGAGATTTTTTTTTTACTTTTGTTTAGTTGGCTGCACAATAGTGCCACAACAATTATTACAACAAGATACATTTTCTAATTAAAACGAAAACTGTTTATTGTCCGTATTTTTTAATATATTAGTAAGTATATTGCACAATTCTTTTATTGATTTATGTTTATGTATATTGTATATATTTCCAGTTATCTAGTATCAGGTATTGGGTATCATCATTATTTCTTCAATCTGTTTTTCTTCTAGAGGGACATCGTTGTGGGGAAAATTTGTTTTATTATTAAATCAATATAAGGATTAGCTTTTTATTAATTTATTTTTACAATGTTCAGAATTGCATTTATGAAAAAGATATTCTAATCATTTGAATGTACTATACATAGATATGCGATCATAAATAGTTTTTTAAGAAATTCGATAAATTACCACAAAAAACACTTTTCCTCACCGTTTTCTTAAAATCTAAACTAACAATAAAATTATTTAAATGCCATAATAATATTATCATTTTTCACATTCTTTCCTGGAATGAAAGCTAGCAAAAACCTAAAATCTTTGGGCACAAACGGCATAAACTTCACACAAACGATTGACGTTGAAAGAAATTCAAAATCCGAACTTGAGGGGTCGCCAAATTAAACGGTACAGATAGGACTACGCTGCGCAAAAAATAAAATAATTAGTTTCAATAAATTTAAATTATACTCAAATATTGAATTATCGTCATAGTTTCTTAACAACCAAGACAAGCTGAGCGTAATTTCCGAAGATTTATAACAAAACCGTAATTCGGTATTAACCCAAAAACCGACTTCTTTTAGTTTTATAGAATAAATGTTTTTATTGCACTGAAACAATAAATGCAGGTATATCATCTTCTTAATAGTTCGTTTTAGAAATTTGTTTTGTACGTCGTTGTACGTTTTGTCGGAGATCTATATAACTGACATTAAAATGTGCTGGCGTTATTTGTGTGCCTATTATCGTATTAAAGCGAGTCGATATTTCCGTTTACAATATAACATTAGTATTAGTGATTGTAGTATTATACTGTAAATTGCAACTTCAGAATTCACATTCAAGAAACCGCTACAGAGGTGTTTACCGTCTCTGTATTTTAACAAACAATGCAGCAAAAATAAAAATCAATGAAAATGATTTTAAATCGGTTTAGTGAGACAAAACCCATTATACCATTTGATAATGCGATACTTTACAATTCGTCAAACAATTCATTATGAGAATGTCGAAAAATGACTTTCTGATCAATATAATAAAACACCAATTTAAAATGTTAATTTTTCCATAGCCTTGAAAATGTAATGAAATTATTCAATTCAGTTAGATGCAATTTTAAAAAGATACTCAAGGCATTAAAATAGATATTTGTACCGTACTGATAGTCGGATCCGGATAAAAAGCTGTAGAAAGCTGGGGGACCATATTAAGAACAAATAAGCAAAATAAAAAAGTTTCTCAATTATTTAATTCAACTCATAATATGGTTTTTTTGGAACCTCTCTCCTATCTCCCTTAATCTTGGCCTGCTGATATTTGCTATATCTTTCAAATGTCTAAAACTAAACGAATATTTTATACCTTTTAAAATGTAAAGAATTGACAACATACTCACAAAAGGTTTTGATATTTTGCTCAATATGCACACAAAAAATGTACACGTTTAAAATTCTAATTAAATCGGAATTGGAAAAAAAATTATGACCAATGTAATATATGCATGTAGAAAAAGAATTCCGCTATTTTAATCAACTCTAAAATTGTAACATACACAATGTTTTTGATTTTTGTTTAAGAATATCAAATAATTTAAAGTTTTACAATTTCTATATAATAAAAAAGAGAAAAACTCGTAATTTTCAAGTGAATTAGAATGTATCATGCATTATTTCAATATGTATACGCGTTTATCGTATTTCGTAACAATCAATATAACAGTGTGTAAGTGAAACATTATGACAGAATACTATATTGAAAACAAAAACCCGTGAATAATAAAGTCTCGTCACTAAAATATAATTATTTTACTGCACATGTTCGTTTCGTTTTATTAAATAGACGTGGAATAGGAGAAATCACTCATTTCGGAAAATCGTCGTAGTCTTACAGTACATTTTCTGTGGAAAATATAAGTAGCAGTAACAGAAAATCAGATTGTTCTATTCATTAGAAACTTGACGAATTTGATTTTTGACTAAACTCACCAAATTTTGTAAGTTTTTCGTGGGAATGATTTTGGAGAAGTTTATCCATTATAATAAGGAAATTATTGAATTCACGGTCTCGGGGATAGAGGGTAACATAATAGAATTGTATGTACAATAAAATTAATCACCATATTATATTACGTAAACAACAAAATTACAATATGGAAAATTAAACGATTTTATCTTATGCCAACAATAATAATTACAAGTTATAACTCAATAATAACAAAACGAATAATTGAACTTGAATTTAACATGTTCAAAATAATTATAGTATTAAACTCTGGAGCATGATTATTGTGAAATATTGCGCGAGTATGACTTAAAGTCGGTCAATTTTAGTAGTCCTGAAACAAAAATCATATTCAAAAAACTAAAAATACCAAATAAATAAATCTTTCTTTTAAACGATGACTTCCGGAGAAGTTATAACAATACACTTCATCAGAAAATATTGCGGACCTGTGTACGATTGTCTCCTCGTATAATTTTTTCTATCCATTTCAGAGCGCTGATAAGAGGGTAGAACGAAGTATCATTGGTTTTGATGCTCAACAACTGGTTATCACAGACAATCATAGATCCCGGTTTCAAAAACTAAATAATACCATTATCATTATTTTAGTCCAAATCAAAACAAATATTGGTTTGAATTATAGGTGTAGTTATTGTAAAATACATATTATTATAATTAATGCATTTAAATTATTAGCTAATCAATTTATAATCAATTTTGACGTTAAATCTTATTCCCCATAGTTTATTAAAAAATTTGAAGACCCTTGATCAATATTTTGACTGACTTCGTCCTTTGGTGATACCAGGTAAGTTGTATTCACAATCATTAAGCGGGTAATGGTTGAGGACACATAACCTCATATGAGAATATGAGAATGGTTGAGAATATTACCTCTAAGTTAATTTCAGATTCCAGTTCTGTCAGTTTATATGACAAACCACGCACGACGCCATCCTGAAAAACACATCAATGTTCATATTAAAATTATTGTTGATCGGAAATAAAATCAGATTGAAACAATTTGTTTTTTTTCATCCACGAAAAAAAAATTTACGTGTTGGCCATTTTATTCTATTCTAGATCATATTTTGCTCACCGAACAACGGGTTACAACTAAACAATTAACCTCCTCCACAATATAATTATCTGGTAATTTAAGAGCTACCACGGATATCTCTTTATCTTTGGGCACGGTAACCATCTATAACATAGTAAAATCTTGTATTATTAAATATTATAATTCATAGATGTATTTCAAAATTATCAACGGGTAGAGAATGATTTTTATGTAAATATTTTCTGATTTCAATATGCCCGGGGTACATGCTATACATAGTTTTTAATTTAACTAGTACGAGTTCTCCTTTTGCGAACACCATTTACATTCAATAGAGTACTTAATTTTGATACTTCTAAAGATGATCAAATCTTCAAAAAAATTTTAGTATTTTTTTAGTTATTTTTTAAGTTTATAGTGATATTTATTTACATTCCATAATTTATATTTAGTAAAATATATTTGTATTTCTCGAATTCGATTTTATCCCCAATGTGACATTTTACTAAACATGTATAATTAGTAATCATATTTAATAATAATTCGTAGATTTAAGATGAAATATTTAGAGAAAGTCACTTCGAAAACATTTTCAAACGAAGACAGTGAAAGTTAAAATGTGTATGTGTATATGATATAATTAAATTCCATATATTGTACAACTAATTAGAAGCTGATTTACTTCAATATGGTTTAAATACTCTTTATGAATGCTGTACAAACAATAAATTTATTTCTAATATTAATAAATACCAGATAATGGCTTTTTCCAAAGCTCATATAATATTATCATTTGATTAAAATTTGTATGATGAAATGCTACATTGAACTATGGTCCCTATTAGGTCCATAAACCTTGAAATATTTTGTTATTCCTAAACCTAATATTGAGTGTAATATTAACAACATTTCTAATAGATCAAACAACATCCTTAGTTATATTCATCGAAATTGTGCTGATTTTAATGATTCATTAAATTGATAATTCAATACTGAATTATACTGAAGTAACCAATTATGCAAGCTATACTCTCCCCTCCACCATTAGAATTATGAAAACTTTGAATAAATTAAAATAGACTTGTTCATATCATTAAACTTTAACTCTTTAACTCAAATGTTTTGTTATATCAAACTTGATAAATAGCAATTAGTATTATATTGATTGTAAATTGTATTTTATTGTTTTGCTATTTTTTCTTATAAATATCATTGTTAACGAACAATTGTTATTAAATTACATGCAATTGGGCCTAGCTCATTTAATACTATAACAAATAAACAAGTATGTACTCCTTAATACTTACATTCAATAACGCTAAATCGTCAAGACCATCTGGACCCGGTTCCAACAAAAGTGGTCCAACTTGTACATGTTTGCTCAATAACACATTAGAATAAAATATACTTTTAGAATTTGTTTCATCTAGTGCATCCAAAAATACTTTCATAAATTTCTGGGAGTTAATATCAAAGTGCCTGAGTAAAAATTAAAATACATTTGAATACATAAGACAAAATTAATATACAAGCAATTACCTTATATCCCCTTAATTGTTTGTAAATGATTTGTAAAAAATATCATTCATAAAACCTTCATCCACATTATTATGAATACTTACTTCAGTCTATGTGTAGTCCACATATTCTGGTGGAAAGGCGCGAAAGGTGAAATATTGAAATTATATTTTATTTTTCAATAAATACCTACTACACTTATTGTTGAAAGCATACCGATAAATTATCACAGTCCCAATTATGAGAAATTGATTATTTCAGGATCAATAAGATGAATTAAACAACATTTCGTATACAATATTATCAGACAGAATTACTGTACCTTTAAAGTAAGTACTCATGTATACTCCGTAAAATATTGTGACATTTTTAATAACCACAAAGATGAAGATAAAAAAACACATTTTTAAAAAGCAATAATTTCTACTATCGTGGAAATGTAAAATGTTATTAAACACATTAAAATACAATAAACTGCTTTGTAGTATTACTATTTAAAGAAAATAATTACTCTTTAATGCAAGACCTAGAAGTTATTATCCAGTTTGATTTGATGAACGCACCTTGACACCATTTGCCTTCTTTATCGATGTTATTTGATTTCGACATCGTTATTACCACCTGTTGAAAACTATACTTGTAACTTATTCACAACATTATTATTCCTATACTTATGAGATAAACAAACGTACGTGATATGGAAAAAGGTATGTTTTAGATGCACCTCTTATAAATTCTTCTTCAGTAGTTATTGGGATTACGTTCTTCTCTAACGGTAATATTGGAATTTTAATATACCTAAGTACACATTATAATAATGATAACAATAATGCTATTCGTTATTATACTTATAAGTTACAGTATATATTAAGTTTATGTTATGAGACATTAATTTCTTAATACATTTAGAATCAGATGATAAAAATAATATTAATTGGAGTTTAACAGTGATTGGAAAGGGTTAGGCGCTACAAAACTCGCCTTTTTAAGAGTTATAAATCACTAATTTGTTTTAACTGATTTATATATACAGATTCATAACATTTCCCGTTTACAAATGAGTACCTATAATTTATTTACATTTGACTTTTCCTGTTAGATAAAAGATACCTGTAATGTAATTTGTTTACATTTTTTGTAAGTTATATATATATTACATATTTTATTTCAATGATATTATTCTACTATGTAATTCATTTGTGTCAGTATTTAATTAATTGCATTATTGTTTATTGTATTGCATATCAATTTTTATATCCATCATATTTAATGTGAAATAACTTAAAAAAGATAAGCTGCTACTAGGGATAAGAACGTCCACAAAACGTACAATAAAATTAATTCATCTCATCATTTTGATCTTAGTAAAACTAATAGCACACTCGCTACGATCAGAATCTAACAATATTTAATTTATGTATTATATTTTCCATAATATTAGGTTACATATTCTATAAACTTACTTTTCATTGTTCGTCTCATCATTTGTTTCATCTTCTTCAATAATAGGCACATTCCTTGTTCTTATTCTTTCACGTGCAGCTTTAAATTCAAAACGTTGTGTCCCAAACAATATACTGTCAAACTTAACATGGATTCTAAAGTAATCCACACCTTGCTCTAATGAACAACTTACTAAAAATACAAATAGTTATATTAAAAAGCATTATATATAGACAGTGAATATATAATAATTACCAGTAAGTTAATGATTTTACAATATATTATATTGAAACACCCTGTGCGTAAAGAAGAAGTAAACAAATGATAAGTACTGATTTTTTAATTTAACAACCGAATAATATTGCCGTTTAAATCATCGAATACGTTGTAATAAACGTTTCAAAGTAATGCAAAAAAAACATACTAGGGAGGGTAGGGTATATTGGAAGGGAACCTTAACGAAAGGAAAATTAATCTGAGCAATGTTCGGTTATGCGTATTTTCAAATACAGCCTTTTTACATTTTTCAACAACATTTTATCCTAAAACGCTTAAAAATTAATGACATAACTTACATTACGTCCGACTATTTATAACTATTAAGTTAAACTTAAAACGAATCTTGTTTTCGAAAAATTTCAATATCCGTATTCTGTAAAAATTGATTATCTTTTGATTTCTGTAAACTTTCCATATTTTTCTTCGTTTTTTTCCTAATAGGACTTTGCCTAATAATTATGAAAATTACAACGAAAAACAAAGAACCAACATTTTTTTCTTTTGTATAAATTATACACTTGAAAATCGATACAAGGTTACTGGTAGAAATTTTGTTCATGTACAAAAACACATCATAGAGAAACCAATATAAATTCCTCGCTTTTCTTAGTATATGAAATAAAATAGGTTTTCTTGTAAAATGCCTGGCGCCGTGTCAACAAACAAACAATATTGCACTACTCTCCCTCTACCTAAACTTAAAACCAGGGACGTATTTAGGAAATGACACTAGGGTGCAACAAAAAAAAAATGCCTCATTGTACCAAATACAAATTTATTATAATTTAAAAACAATAGGTATATTCCATTTTCAGATCCATAAAGTAAAATAAAAGAGAGTTGATCTTTATGTGAAATATCTGGAGTTAAATCCAAACCTATTGAAAAATAACGTGTTTTGTGAGCTTCTTTTATTATTTGATCGGTTACTTGATTTTCCATAACAATAATAAATTGTTCATAAGTGTGGAAAGATAGATATGATCCTTTTCCTAAATGTCCGCATGTTTTTATATGCTGAGTCAAAAATGGATCAAACTCTGCAATAAGTTTAATGCCCATCATAAAATTACCATTATGTGTTAAACAAAATATTTCATTATCTTCTCTGAATGATAATCTTCTTGAAAACAATGATTTGACAACAGCAACTATTCTAGTTAACACTTTTGTCCAGTACTGAATTTCTGTATCCATTTGAAATAATAATTTTGTACCAATTTTTTTAAAAATATCACTTCTATCTTTTGTTATTAAAACACAAGATCTATGATGATTTTAGTTGTCATAAGAAGAAAGTTTAACTCCAGATTTTTAAAATTAGAAAATCCATGAGTAAAAAAACTAGACACTCTATCAAATAGCCGATAAGAAACGTAATATACTGTTCCTGTACTTTCAGAGTAAAGAAGAAAATGTCTCTTTACTTTTTCTCCATTTTTTAGAACACTATAAAACAAATTAGATGTATAATATCAAAAATAATCCTGACATTTGCCTTTTGCAATTCCCAGATAACGTCTTTTTGATTTTGAAAGATTTAATTTTCATTTTCTTGTGGTGGCTGTTATAATTTATTATACTTTGGTCTTCTTAATATTTTTCAAATACAATTTTAATAAATTCTGAAACAAAAAATCAGATTTGTGTTAAATTTTGTTAACTGTAGCCTACATATCAAAAAGCCACACATTTTTTCAGTATAGTGCTCTTTAGAATTCAAACTATTCCAAGTTGATTCTATATTTTCAAAAGTTATACTTTCAAAGTATTTCCACTGTATTGAACAATGTTTGATATTGAACTACTTGCAATGTTGTCTATAGAGTTGTCTTCTAAAAAATTATTAAATATATAACATTAATTAAACTATGTAAAAAACAAACATAGGCTATAATATCTGGTAAATCTGTTTTTTTTTAAATAATTATTCATTTTTGCAGATTTCATGATAACATTTGTGAGCTTTTCACTTTTTTCTTTAGATTTTTTTCGATAAGCAGCACCACTGAGTCTATTTTGTCCCGTTATTTTGCAGTTTGAAAAGCTAAATAGCGCATTCAAAGCAGCATAAAAATATATTGCTTGTACTTTGTAGCCTACAAGCATTCGTGCAAAACTATATTATACTATGCTTATGCTTATAAATAGAGTATAAACCTCTTTTGAATGTATGTTGTCACAACTTACAAGTCACAAGTCACTAGTAACTATCCAAAAGTCAAAATCTAAATTTATTAAATTAGTAATTACAACATATTATTGATAAATTACATATTATCACTATTGTGATAACAAAAGAAGCCGCTTTGACTATACCGCGGTTCAGAATCCTAATCGAAAAATTAGATAACACCGTGTATGTATGTGTGTGTGTCGTGACGCCGTGATCGGCGATGTATTTTTTTTTGTATTAAATATCTCAATATTTATTTATTATTTATTTTTTTTTGCTGCCCCCTAAATACGGTCCTACTTAAAACTAAAATATATTTCGTCAAGGTTTCTCAAACAGCGGTTTGTATGTTGAAAAAATATGCATATGTAATAGGTATATTATATCTGTGATCGTTATAATGTGTACAATATTGTATATAATTTGTTTAAAAATAACGCGTTTAGGTAAGAGAATTATATGTACTCCAGGGTAGATGATTTATTGATATTTATATTAATGAATAAAACATGAGTATGTTGAATATTAAAATTCCAAAATAATTATTATATTTTGCATAAAAATTTAATTTCGAAAAAAACATAACGCTGGGCCATTTATAATCTTCTTACCTTTAATTTTGGTAATAGGTTATCGAGCTTTAATATTAAAACTAATGACACAAAATATGTCCTACTGATCGCAAATTCTCTATGTATCCCGTTTGTAAGACGGAGACAATAGATATCTATTATATTTGAGATCATTATAATATGTACAATATTGTATATAATTCATACAATAATAATAACGAGTTTATAAATATTTTTAAAAATACTTTCAATATTTCTGAAACTATTATGACGAATTAAGTGGGGAAATTATTTCCAGCTATGAGTACATTTTATGTTTATTTATCACAATCGTATTATTCTTGATATACCAAACTTATTATCACATATACATATTATCTTTATCATTAAAAGAACTACTGTTTATTTGACACGGGTATTGATTTTAAAGTACATTGCTAACATTTCTGCTACAGGCATAGGAGTGTTCCGGGTGAAAACTAAAAGTTAACTGGGGGAGGGGAATTCCCTTAATAAATTAATTTTTCTCGGGAACGACCCAAACGTAATGTCTGTGGCCACACGATGAAATCCTTCTGTTTTGCTAATATTTTTATGGATTTATATATATTGTACATGATGAATAGTAAATACAAAAAAAAAATTAAATTATACTCCCTTAAGATAAAGGAATCTTTAAACAATTTTGAACATAAGGCTACGGTTTTCCTCCGAAATAAGGGTGAAAAAATAACATAATTATACAATTTTAGAGCAGCTTGTTTCTAAAATATTCTAGAAAACAAATTCCGGAAAAAGTTAATACTTTCCGTATAGGTGTATTGAAAGAGGATGTATCTTCCAGGAAAAAAAATGATTGATTTTGGTACAGTTTATCGACTGACCCATTGTTGACCTAACAATGTTAGTATTAAACATACACACCGTTCGCTTACAAAAAATTACTTTTTATTCTATTATTAGAATTTACCTTTAATACTCGTACATATATTATGTTTTTTTAGACCTGACTACAACGGTATTGACGATTAGTAATCTATTGATATAACTTTAATATTTTAAGTATAAATTGAATTTGGCACCACCAAACATAATTAAGAAGTAGGTCAGTAGTATAAAATAGCCGGTTCTAAATCAGGATCAAGATGAAGGACGAAGTGCTATACCTAATACATGGCCGCCCGAATTGCCCACCACTTCTTAGACCATTTAGGTCACGCCCACTTTCGACATTATTACCACACTGTTATCACCGACATTATTACTACACCGTTATCACGGTTATATCTGCTGTTATCACAATTATACCTAATACATATATCGTTGTACCTACTGTTATCTCACGATGATATTTCAATACATAGCAAGTATTTCGTATACGAAATATATCTTCCCCGTCTGTGTTATACCATCATTATTATAATTTAACAAAATAATATTACTCGTACGCGATTTGTTACCTATACGGAATATAATAGTCGTCGCGTATTGTCTCGCGTCGGACGGTCCGGCATTCGATAGGTCAGCTTGCGGAATTATATTCGAAGGATCGGCTTGCGGACAATAATCGGCAAAGCGACTCTTCCGTCGTGATGAACAAATTTAACATGGATATCATGGTTGTCTTTACGCGAAAACATTTTCGAATACAGTGCACATTGAAATTTTACTCCGTAGTGCGATTTAGCGTAGTGAGTCATATTATTTTTTGTATTAAAAACTTTTCCGCAACCGGCGTAGATTCGAACGTATTCATTTTTAAACGGAAAAAAAAAAAAAACATTGTATTACAAGAATTTAACACAAAACGAAAACGATGAGAAAACTAGAAAAGACGAGTTCACTGGTTTGTAGTAAAATCACTAATGACGATCGGTTTTTTATCGATCCAATATCTACAAAAATCGTTTTACGTTCGCAAAAGGAATTTGTGCATGATCTAACAGAAAAACCTGAAAATAATACATTTTTTCATACAGGTCCTTACATGCAAGAAACACACTGTGTGTATGCTTCTGACTACATATATATATATATTTTTTTTTTCGTAATAGATTCTCGGAACGATAACAGTGTGGTAATAATGTCGAAAGTGGGCGTGAACTAAATGATCTAAGAAGTGGTGGGCAATTCGGGCGGCCATGTATTAGGTATAGTACTTCGTCCTTGATCCTGATCCTGATTTAGAACCTATTTTATACTACTTAGGTCTTTTCATGTTTTATTGACGGCCTACAGTTGTCCCACCCAGCGTTGACTCTACCAATTGTAATCGATATTAGCACTTTATTGAAAATCTCATATCAATTAGTATGCCCTTGATCCTACATTCTTACAATTCTATCCGATATTGCTTTACTAGTGCTGGATATTATATATCATTGTATATTATTGCCTTGTGGGAAACGTAATCATTTAAAAAAAAATGTGTTTTATTTTCGGATAATACTCTAAAATAGTGGTTTTCAAAATGGGTGTCGCGGCACACCAGTATGCCAGTATTATTAGACCCCAGGCAGTATATCCGTCGCAACCGACTTATACGTTTACGCCGTAATCGTAGAGTATTTTGTCTCCTAATTCAATTGTTAAAGCATACGAGTATTTAAAAAAATAAATTTGTGATATACATTTACATATACATAAATTATAAATTATAATCATGAACAAATTTACTAACAAAGTTACTCGTTCTGTTGCCAATAATGCGTCAGCCACCAAAAAAAAAAAACAAACCAAAATACAGTAATATTCGCCAGTATCACGAAGATTACTTATAAATGAGATTTTCTTGTACTGGTAATAGAGATGGTCCTCGTCCGTGGTGCGTTGTATATGGTGAAAAATTTTCAATTGAAGCAATGGTGCCCAGTAAACTTAAACGTCATTTGTTCATTAAGCATTCACATTTGATCGACAAAAATATAACATATTTTCAACGTTTATTAAAATCAAAAACTCAACAAAGTAAAAGTTTTTATGACAAAAATTGTAAAGTGAACAGTTAATTTTACCCGCTTGCGTGAAATTGTAAAAATATTTTTTGGAATAGAAACTGAACAAGAAATAATGAAAATTCTTTTATCTGATAATACAATTAGTAGGCGCATAAACGACATGTCCGAAGATATTGAGCAACAAGTATTAAATAAGTTAGGCGATTCTCCTATGTTTGCGTATCTATAAGTGAAAATTCACAGCTTTTAGTTTTTGTACGTATGGTAGTTGATGACGATATTAGCGAAAACTTCTTTTGTTGTAAAACATTGCCCGAAACAACGAGAGGTGAAGATGTTTTTAAAGTTTTAGACAATGATTTATCATCAATAAATTTATTATTATAGAAAAATTGTATTAGAATATGCACAAATAGATTACCTTCAATGACTGGCTCAATTAAAGTTTTCATTTTTTTTAGTCAAAAAAAATAATTCAAAAATTATTTTTACCCGTTGCTTCCTTCATAGAGAGACCCTAGTGGCAAAATCCTTAGTAAGTGATTTAGAAAATATACTTGATCATGTTGTAAAAGTTATACATTTTATTAAGAGTCGAACTCTTAAATCAAGACTATTCGAAAAAATATGTGAAGAGATGGATGCAGACTATTCAAGATTGATTTTATATAGTGCACTAAGATGGCTTTCAAGGGGAAATATTTTATCATGATTTTACAATTTGAGAGAGGAGTAACTTGTATTTTTAACTATGAAAGAATCTGAATTCAACTTTCTTGAGAATGAAGAGTGGTAGACAAAGTTTTCCTTCTTAACTGATTTGTTTGAGGATCTCAATAAACGAAATTCAAGTATGCAAGGTCGTGAGGAAAATATACTAACATCGTCAGACAAAATTATGGCTTTCATCGAAAAATTTAATTTATGGAAAACTAAAGTTAATCAAGGTAATCTAATTATGTTTCCTTGTACTGCTTTGCTAATTGCGGATGAAAACATTTTGTCATTAATAGTCTAATCAATCGCATTGTTGGAAGTAAAAATAAATACATATTTTCCAAGTGTTAATACTAAAAAGCGTGGCTGAGTACGATACTCTGTTTATGTGTCTATTAGTGACTTGATTGATTTAAAACGTTTTAAAGAAGAAAATCTCTGTTCAATTAAAAATTATCGAACATTGCAGTTGAAATTCAAAGAGATCACTCTCGATAAATTCTGAATATATGTTTCTGAAGAATGTCCAGAGATATCTATAAAAGCACTGACTATTCTTTTGCCGTTCTTAACCTCATATCTTTGTGAACAATGTTTTTCGGCGCTTGCGAATATAAAAAATAAAAAATGAGAAAAATTTAATTCAGCGGAGGAAGAAATGCGGGTATGTCTGTCAACTATTCGTACGAGAATTAAAAATTTTTGTAACGCCCATCAGGCACACATTTTTCATTAAATGAACCTATGTATAAATTACGCTTTTTTTTGTAAATAAATTTAATAATTAATTAATTACTAAAACAATGTAATTAGAATTAATATATATTTGTTAGTCCATTATTCAAAAATTTCTAAATAAATGAATTTACAATTATAATTAATTCAAAACAATTTTGTTCATCTAAAAAAGGTCAGTGTGCCGTGAACATTTTTTGAAGTGTACGGTGTGCAGTGTATAATAAAAGTTTGAAAACCACTGCTCTAGAAAGTATTAAGAGTCCCAATTATTTCCAGCCAAATAATTTGAGTCTTTCCGGTGGCTCAGCCAGTGGTGGCAAATTGACTACACCATTGAAGCAACACATACCAGAATCTTCTACTCGAAACATTTGTAGGTAATCTGGTTACTTAAATATTCTATAAAACAAATTCCGGAAAGAAAAGATACTTTCAAAATAATAAGTGTACTAAACTTATTATTTACTAATTATCTACTAATTATTTGTAAAAAGTTTGCATAATATATTTAATAAGATTAGTACACGGATTTCCCTGTCCTAAGTGTGTTCTTATTGAATATTTATCGGTAAAATATACAGTAAATATTTTAAAATTGATAGTTATTAAGACTAATAATAATTTTAGTGTACTAACTAAAATATTACCTTTCAGGTTCTGTATTTGCTGTGTAATGAATTGTTAAATTGTTAAATTAATTACAATATTATTGATTGCATAACTAAAGAAATGCGTTTACTTTTTTCAGATTGGTAATAAGATTACTCAATACTCGCCAGGTTGTGGGTGGGTCTTTGGGTAGATTTGGACTTTCGTCTGTGACTATGTCTGAGATTATGGCATTGGCTATTTCTTTAGCTATGCCAGGTAAACGCTGCAATATTGATTTTGTTTTTTCAAAAAAAAGTTTTGGTGTATTTGTTTTATTATCTTTTAAGTCTGTTTCCTGTGCGCTGTAGTTTCCAGATGTTAGCTCTTGTACTGTAAGATCTTTGATTGGTGCTTCTTCCAAACCTTCATTTTTTACTTGTAGATTGAATGAATTACCTATATCAAAAACGTTTTTCAATCGATTATATAATTATTTAAACATTCAAATTCCATTATAAAAGTACATAAACAAAATAATCGTTACTACTAACCAAGCCTGCAAGATATAGTTATTCGTAATACTCGATAGTCATTTAATTTTAAAATAATCGATTAATCATTATTATCGATGGATTAACACTGTATTAAAAGTATAATTTAGTGTTTTCTAACGGAGGGGGGAGAAGAAATTCATTGCTAGTGAGAAATTTAAGTACTGCGTGTGGGACAATATAGCGATGATGTAATTGAATAAAAGTGAATATCTGTCTGTCTGTATGTCCCTTATTGGCTGTAAAACTACTGGATCGATTTTACGGAGTTTTTCCTAATTTGATTCCGCGTTGTCTCGAGAAGGTTTAGAGCTATTGAAATTTCTGAAATTTGACACATACAAGATAGCTGTCACAGGGATTTTGGCGTATTGGGATATGATTTTTATTGATTAAGTCACCTTGTTAACAAAGTAAAAATTAGTATTATTTTGTTGATTTTGTGGTCTCTATGGTATCTATCTGTATATATTATTTATAGATTTTATAAATATATATATAAAAATACAATTGAAATCTTTGTCATAGATTAGCTTCGAAACAACTAGACCAATTTTTATGCGGTTTTTCTCATAAAGATTGCATTGGCCATTGTAAGTATTGAAATTATTGAAATAATTGATTTGATCGGCAGAGGTAGTAGACCTACAGTAGATTGGACTGAGCTAAATTTTATTATACGTGTGATTAGCACGGGCAACGCTAGACGATACAGGTAGTAAAATATAAAATTCACAAATTTACCATGCCTTAAATTCAAAACAATAAGACCATATTTTTCATTGATAGAAGAAGGCATGATAATCTTAAAATAAGGCATTTGAAAATCTTCTAGGGAATCGAGATTAAAAAAAAACTTATCTTATTTTAACTTCTACACACTAAGTATGGTTTGGACGCTACAGAAGTGTCCTCAACAATTCCTATTACTATCGTATTATAATATCACCTTGCTATTAGATATCTGTCTAATACTAATCAGCTATCTGTGTACAATAAAATTCTTATATTCAAAAAATGTCACTTACATGTTATTGACATGAAATACACAAATATTAGGTACAACCAGGTGTTCATGTTTGAAGACCCGATGAAAAGACTTTATTATATTATATTATAAGTTATACCTTTATTGTTCTAAACAATTGATTGCCAGTTAATATGCGATAAATTTAGTTATGAATACGAGTATACACGATTAGGAAATTAAATGAAGTATCGAGTTCAATATAATCAAAAGATGGTTACGATTTATGGGTATTACTGACGATGACACCAATGAAAAATATATTACGTCAATGCAAGTGTACAATGATGCCTAACTTTTTATAGGTCAAAAAATAATACATAATATAAAATAATTACACGTAAGTCACACACTATTTGAATTTGTTTGTGATTAATAATGCATTTGATACAATCTTAAGAGTTATGACGCATACCTCGTTGGTTCCAGGAGTAAAAAATTCGGAAAATCGTAAACTAAAGTTTGTTTTGTTTTACGTCTGACTTGGCCAATTCAAATTTTAAAGCTAGTTATGACTTTTTGCACCACTTTTGCCATTTATTTTTATTTATAAGGAAATTGTTTATAACTCAAAAGCAAACACGGCAAAACTGTGTAATAGTTAATTTAATGTATACCAGTAAGACATAATAAACCATGTCTAACGAAAAATCGATTTTGAAAATAGTTCAGTTGATAGTGATGCTTTGTCAACAGTATATAATAATTTGGTTAATATGGAATTTACGTTAATAAAGTATTTTACATGGCACGGTTTTATCTTAGTCATATACCGTAACCTAAATTTAAAACTTTTGATACTTTGATTTATTAACCGGTTGGCCAAGGGAATGTTACTCATTATGCGCTGAATTGTTGAATTTGTTCAATGTGTAAGTTCTAAGTTTACTATTAATAATGAAAAATGTTTAAAAAAAAGTTAATTTTTTTTTGTACGCAAATGGTTACCAAAAACTTGTTAAGAGATTGACAAAAGATTAGAATAGAAAAATGACATCTCTAAAGTACCTTCTCAGTTAGATTTTCTTTCGGGATATGTGTTTTTTTTTTTCATTTTAAATTGGAGTGAAACTGCGAAAATGTTTTTCTAGCAGAATGTTGTACACAGAAAGAAAAGGCCATAATATTTTTGTACCTATACCTAAATTTCGTACACTTTCTGTTTATCCGACATTTTATCCCGGTTTTTCCCATACATTATGAAAACCGCTTGTAAAATCATTTTAATGATATCAAAATCGCTTTATAAAAAAAAATATACATTTTTGATGTTGTTTAGTTGGCTACACAGTAATGCAACACTATTTAATACAAAATTTATCATAAGATGCATTTTCTGGTTTAAAAAAAAAAACTGTTTATTAAGCGTATTTTTTAATATATTGGTATTGTGCATTGTTTTTTTATGTGTATATTGTATATATTTCCTGGTATCTAGTAACAGGTATTCGGTATCAAACTACTAACGTGCACAAACGATTGACGTTGGAAGAAACTCAAAATCCGGACCTAGTAGAAGGGCACAGTTTAAAAAAGACGCTGCGTAAAAAATAAAATTATTATTTTCTATAGATTTAAGTTATTTTTGAATATTGAATTCTGATCAGAGTTTCTTAACAACCACAACAACCTGAACGTTAAATCCGGAGATTTATGGTAAAACCGTAATTCGGTGCTAACCTAAAAACCGACCTATTTTAGTTTTATATTAAAGGTTTTTTTATTGCATTGAGGTACTAAATGCCGGTATCGCTTCTTCTTAATAGTTCTCTTTTAAAATTCGCTTCGTACGTCATTGTACGTTTTGTCGGAGATCTATATAACTGACGTAAACATGTGCTGGCATTATTAAACCGAAACAGTGGTGTTTACCGTCTCTGTATTCTAACGAATAATGTAGCAAAGATAAAAACTAGTGAAAATGATTTTAATTCAGTTTACTGAGATAAAACCAAGTATATCATTTGATGATGCGGTACTTTACAATTCTTCAAATAAACAACTCATTATGGAAATGTCGAAAAATAACATTTTAACTTTTGAATGATCAATATTTCAAAAAACATCAATTTAAAATGTTAATTTTTCCATTGCCTTGAGATAGTAATACAATTATTAATTATTTTTAGACACAAGTTTAGAAAAATACTCAGAATATTTCAATAGATTCCTGTACCGTACTGATAGACCCGGATAAAGAGCTGTGGAGGGCCGGGGGTCCCTATAAATAAATATCAAGAACAAATAAGCGAATTAATAAAGTTTCTAAAATATTTAATTCAACTCATGGTATGGTCTTTTTGGAACCCCTCTCCTATAACCCCTAACCAGGGCTTGCTGATACTCACTATATTTTTTAAATGTCTAAAACAAAACGAATAATAATTTTAACCTTTTAAAATGTAAAGAATAGACAAAAAACTTGTGAAAGGTTTTGATATTTTGCTCAATATACACAGAAAAATTGTACTCGTTTTAATTCTATGTTAATCAGAATTGGACTACAAATCATAACCAAAATAATATACGCATACAGAAAAAAAATTCTACTATTTTAATCAACTCTAAAAGTTAAACATACTCAACATTTTTGTTCTTTCGTCTTAAAATATCAAATAACATACAGTGTTATATTTTCTACATAATAAAAGGGGAAAAACGTGTAATTTTCATATTAATAAGGAAAAATATATGTACCGGTTACAGATTTTTCTATTCATTACATACTCGACGAATATGAGTTCGACTATACTCACTAAATGTTGTATTAATATTTTTCGATGAAAAGATTTTGCAGAAATTTATCTTTTATACTAAAGGAATTATTAAATTCATGGTCCCGGGAATGAAAGTTAATATAATAGAAAGATATGTACAAGACTTCAGTACAATTTTTCACCATATTATATTACGTAAATAACAAAAGTACATTATGGAAAACTAAATTTTATCTTATAACCACAATAATAATTATAAGTCATAACTCTATAATAATACAATGAAAAATTAGACTTATATCAATATTTTCAATATAATTATAGTTATTGAACTCCGGTGAATGATTTTTGTAAAATAATGAACAAGTATGTCTTAAAGTCCGTCAATTTTAGTAGTCCTGAAAAAAAAAATCATATTCAAAAAAGAAAAAAAAATTTTAAATCTTACTTTTAAACGGTGACTTCCGGAAAAGTAATATTTATATACTTCATCGGTAAATATTGTGGATCTACGAATGAATATTTTGTTACCTTAAACTCTTTTCTATCCAATTCAGAGTGCTGATAAGAGGGTAGAATAATCTTCATTGATTTTGATGCTCAAAAACTGTTTATCACACACAATGATAGAACCCGGTTTCAAAAACTAAATAATAACATTATCATTTTATGAGTTAAAATCAAAACAAATATTGGATGAATTATAAGTACAGTAATTATAATATACATATTATTATAATTAAATTAACATTAAATCTTATTCCCCATAATTTATTAAAAAAAATTGAAGACCCCCGACAAATTGTCTGAGATTCTTCCTTTGGCGATAACAATATTTGGCAGAATGCGCAATCATTATGCGGGTAATGGGGGAGGACACATTACCTTATACAAAAAACATTTAAAACTAAAATACATGTATCATTTTATAACATAATAATGATATTTCGTTTACAAAATTAAAAAAATCCAGGATTATTATATGTTATTAAATTACAGATACAGTATTTGAGAGTGGTACACTGTATATTACAAGAAGTTGTTTTAAGAAACAGCCTGTAAATGAAAACGATTTTTAAAAAAGACATATTACCTATTATTTTAGAGAATATTACCCCTAAGTCCATTTCAGATTCTTTTCTTGTCAATTTAGTAACAAACTACGCACGACGCCATCCTGAAAAACTCATCAATGTACATATTAAAATTATTGTTGATCGGGGATAAAATAATGTGTTAGCCAATTTATTCTATTCTAGATTATGTTTTGCTCAATGAACAACGGGTCACAGCAAAACAATTAACCAAAAAGTACATTTTATACTTTATTTTAGATTGAATTAAACTTCGAACTGACCCCATTCTGATTCCGGCGATGTTTCCAGAAATTCAATCCCCCGCATGTGGTCACCGCGCGCGTGTCGATAAGTCAACTGGAAAAAACGACGTCGACCACAACACTTGAATAGAATTTCTACCATTGAGAATCCATATTATTTAGATTTTGGTGGCAACAGATTGACGAACTTAACACAGGTATGGAGTGAAGGGTTCATAAAAGAAATGGACAATAATTTCAACGACATTTATAGGTATGATAATACGTCAATGTAATAAATATTAATGACATAAGTATCGTGGTTCAAAATGTCACACTAAATTAGGTGGCTTTAAAACCAGTCAATTTGCATTTTTATGTAATAACAATGGAAACATTTGCGAACCGTTACCATGTACACCTTTCGCGACTCTGGGTTCTCACCATAATAGTACCGATGCGCGTTACATTAAACTATCTTCTTCCGTGGTTAACACGGTGTCAGTGTGCCATACTCGTCGTTATATCAATTTTGTTTTTACATTTCGCCACTCAATCGTCTGATTTGTAAATTATTTATGTCATATATATTTAATTAAATAGTATGATTATTATTGAATATACTAATATTGAATATTTATCGGTATAATAGACAATAAACTTAACTAAATTATTACCTTTGAGGTTCTGTAATTGCTGTGTAATGAATTGTTAAATTGTTAAATTGTTTACGATATTATTAATTATATCACGAGAGAAATGCGTTTACTTTTTTCAGTTTGGTAAAAAGAATCGTCAATAATTGAAAGGTTACAGGTTCGCCTTCGGGTAGATTTGAAGTTACGTCGGTGTCTATGTCTGAGACTACGGCATTGGCTATTTCTTTGGCTATGGTAGGTAAACGCTGCAACATTGATTTTGTTTTTTCAAAATAAAGTTTTGTTGAATTTGTTTTAATATCTTCTAAGTCTATTTCCTGTGTGCTGTGGTTTACAGATAGTTGCGCATGTTCTGTATAAACATTGGGTGGTATTTTTTTAATATCTTGAAGACTTGTATCTGGATTGATTGAATCACCTATATCAAAAACAATTTTTAATTTGATTGTATAACTATTTAAAAAACAAAATTCTATTTAAAAAGTACACAAACAAAATGATCGCTACTATTGTCCAGGTCTGTAAGATATAGTTATTCGTAATACTCGATAGTCATTTAATTTTAAGATAATATATATATAACATTATTATCGATGAATTAACTAACGGAGAAGGAATGGGAAATTCCTTTCTAGTGAAAAATTTAGATATTGCGTGTAGATATATAAAAGTGAATATTTGTCTGTCTGTATGTCCTTAATAAACTGAAAATCCACTGGACCGATTTTACAAGATTTTTCCTAAATTGGATCCGCATTGTACCGAGAAGGCTATTGTAGCTATTACAGCTATCGAAATTCCAGAAATTCGACTCATAAAGGATAGCTGACACAGGGATGTTGGTATTTGGGATATGATTTTTGTTGATAAAGTCACTTTGGTAATATAGTATATATTATTATAATTTTGTTGATTATGTCATGTCTATTGTATCTATCTACCTACATGTATTATTTATTGATTCTCTCTCTATACATATATAATAACTTAAATTGAAATCTTTGTCATAGATTAGCTTCGAAACCACTAAACCAATTTTTATGCAGTTTTCGCATAAAGTACGCATTGTCCGGAGTAGGTTTTGAAACTTTTATACATGTTCTGATCAATAGAGGTAGTACTGGACTCAATTCTATTACACATGTTTTTGGCACGGGCAACAATAGATGATACAGGCAGTAAAAGAGAAAATGTGTAACTTTACCTTGTCCTAAATTCAAAACGAAAAGTTCATGTTTTTTATTGATCGGAAAAGGCGTGCACATATTTTGAAAATCTACAAGGAAATTGAGATGAAAAAAAATTCGGAAACACCGGTGTATAGATTTAATACTTGATACTATCGACTATTTTAAAACAGTATTTATAATAAAACGATGGTGAGATAAAGGTAGTCGACGAAAAAAAAATATTCTTGTAATAGCCGTGTTATCAATATAATCGAATATCGATAGTATTTAAATACTGAATTTAGCGACAGTACAAATAATACCAAACATTCAATTAAATCATGTTCAATTTTTTAACCATTGATACTATTGATTAATCCCGCAGTCCTATACTACTGATGATTATGCTACTGTTGTAGGCAGAGAGTTAAAAAGGTAGAATACATACAGTTATTTGAGTTTGTAAGCAATGAGATAATAATTTGGTAACATAAAATAGTTCTGAGCGCAAAATTAGAGCTTTGAAAGCTAAAATATTTTCACCACTTGAGGTAACTTTTAATAAGTTAAAGAAAAGTTCTGAACAGATAACAGATAAAATACATCAAAGTTACTCTAATTTACCTGTTAATATCTCGCTGGGTTCAGAATCGAAATCATAAATATGTTTTTATAATATGATAATTAATACAACATGTTTATAAGTAATATAATATAAATTTAATATACAAATTTAAGGAAATTGTATAGTTGAACTTATTTTGAAATTGTATTGTTCTATTTATTTTAAAAAATTCGACAACGTGGGGTGTAATATGTTGACAGGTATAAAAAAAGTTCTTGTACTATTTGATGTGATGAGAAAATTCGGATTTGCCAAAGTTCAAAAATCTGGAATATTAAAATCCGAAATGTGATGATTTTTTTAAAGTTGGTATTCTGGGTTTTATAACATTTTTTTTGGATTCTTCTAGACATTTTCCATGTAACTCAAAAAGTACTCCAAACTTTATAACTTTATAAATTCATAATTCAAAACTATTTTTTTTCAATTCGAAAATCAAAATTCTCGAATTCTCTTATATACATAATTCAAAGCCATATATTTCTGAGACGATTTTGAGTATGTCTTACGCTTGATTGATCGCTATTGCTAACATTAGGAACATAGAAATGCTAATGCTACATAATACATTTGAAATATGTTATTAGAGTAAAAAAGGTCATAGGATCAAATAAAAAGTCATAAGCACCTTCAAATGAAAAACACTTTTTGGACCTATGATTAAAAATACAAAGCACAACGTTTAATCAATAAATCTTGACGAACAACTATTATTGGGCATTACTAGGCGAATTATAACAAATAACAAAATTGAAAAATAATAAAAGCATTGTTTTTGTTAATTTCTCGTTTTCTTACGTTTATCCTGGTTTTTCTCAGATATTATAAAAACAGGATTTTGATGACAAAAAAAAAAATTGTGGTCGAAAATGTGTATGCAGAAAAACAATCACATTATATCAAAACCAATAAATACCAAACTTTGCTTACAATTTAAAAAAAAATAGCACGATTGTTACTATACGAGGATGTTTTATTTATACATCATATTTCATACTGGATCATTTCAAGTCAATAAACACTGTGGAAGTATATCTAAAAAGCACTATCTACTGACAAATTTCGCGAGGTTTAGTTATCATTTCAATTCATGAAATAACATAAACCAAAAACATATAATTTGTAATTTATAGTTTGCAGTTAAAATAAATTTGTATGATTATTTTATTTGGTAATTACATCTCTATTATAGTACGGTAGCCTATTTTTTTTTATTTTTTTTTTTTGGCGGCGGGCACATATAAATATTATATGAGTTAATATATTTTGTTGAACGATAAAATACACCAAAATAACTGATAATCCAAAAATTTGGTACGCTCCACCCACCCTTCCCACCGTCATATTGGCAATGGTGTGAACTATTCAGAGGAGGTTAAAGTTCCCGTTCCCAAATATTCAGCAATTTCGAAATGTCATTGTAGTTACTTATATTATTTTGAAATTTACTTATATAGTCATAAAATTAACTTTTTAATAATTAGGCAAGTAGTTTACTGGAAATGGCGTTAGGCTAGATTAGGCAGGGTATTGGGTTCAATCAATACCATACTGTAGGGATTTACGAGATTCCGTTTGTTTTAATTTTTTCTCATTAATAAAATTATAATTGATAAATGTCATTTTTAAAATATTTAATAAACGAAAATCCCGATATCCATATTTAATAAATAATTTCTAAATATCATTTAAATGAAAAATATACCAAAAAGGAAACATTTTATAAATCATTTCATTAAAAAAATAATATTGTATAAATCTTAGTGAAATGTATTGTTGCTATATGAGAAGTGTGTTTTTGATAAACTACAAGTGTTCCGATTTTGTGAATGTAATACGCAATGTTTATTATAAAAAATTATCTTTTGTGTATTTAGTCTAAAAGGTGACACAAACGTTACGTAAGTTTTACACGCATACAAATTTCAATCATTATACTCTAAAATCTTGTTTGTTCTTCTGTCGGTAGTATTTTTGATGTGTATCAAACTAATACTGGTAGTTTAAATTAACGTAATTAAAATGTGCCATCGGATATTTAAATTTTTTTATATTTATAACAATTAACAGGGACAACGCCGAGTGGGTCAGTGTGGCCGTAAAAAAAACTTGAAAATACATACTTAGTAATTACGTTTAATTCTGTCCAACAGAATATATACTTACAATATTAAAGTTATATCAATGGATTACTAAACTTCAATCCCATTACAGTCTGGTTTAAAAAGCATTATACCTATAAAAAGTAAATTATAATAAAAGAATAAAAAGTAATTATTTGTAAGCGTACGGTGTATAAGTGGTGCGGCGTGTTATTAATGCACCACTTCTCTCCTCCTACCTAACCTCCTTAAAATCCCTAAATTTAACTTCAGCTCAACCAAATATTTTGCTTTGGTGTATCAAGTATATTATGTCATCTCAAAGGATTTTGTAGTTAGTTAGTGATTTAGGGAGATGATGTTTTGATTTTCAGGGGGCTTACATAATAATTAGGAAAAACCGGAAAAGAAATTTTCGAAAAAACTGTGAAATTGCCTAAGTATTACCTATTTTATTGTTTTTAATTTTTACAATTATGTTTTCCACAGGAAATATTGTTAAAATCAAAAAACGACAAGTAACCTTGTTAAATTTTGAAACTATATTCTCAGTCAAGAAGTCGTGTATTGATGTTCCATTTGGTTTTTATAACAATTAGGAATATCGTGAAAAATTAAAAAATTTATGACGCGTTACGATTCCATTATTTTAGATTTGTATTCTTTTAGATTGCTGTCAGAAATATCGGTTCAATAGTTACACTACTAGATAACTGTTTTGTTTCATTTTTAATCTAGTTGTTGAATAAGGAAGTTGCTTTTCGAATTTCCTTTTAGTTTTTTTTTTTTATAATTTAGTAAAAATGAAAAAACGTAGAAATAACGGGAAAATTTACGAAAATAATGCTTCTATAATTTTCAATTTGGTATTTTGTATTTTTGTTGTAATTCAGTTAAAAATGTTCGTGGAGACATGAAATATGGACAGAAACCTTATATTAGCCTTTTATAGACGGGGTAAAATTTCAAACCATTTGTGCCATTTTTTAGCCATCTATATCACTTTATGTTTGCGAGTTTTTGCGTAATTTTTATTCGGTAGATACTCTGTGGATACAATTATTACACTAAACAAAATTTCTATTATAGCAATGATTGAAAATTTACCAAGAGGTTTATTATACGTCGTTCGTTGTGGGTGAAACAGTAACACATCCATCAATAACGTTGGTTCTTTTTAAAATCGTTTTTGTTTATACAGCTTATTTATAATATTTTAGTATAGGTATTTTAATATAGTTTTATATAGGTATAGGTACTTAAATCGCTTTTTATTGGTAGTATTACTATAATATAATATAAGCAGTTTGGTTCCCTATACTGTTAATGATGCAGATATAATTGACGTATGCAATAAAATATATACGGAGTGTCCTGCAGTATTATTTGAATGCGTATAATTTTGTTAGTATTTATTTTTCTATTGAACATAGTTTTTTTCAATCGGGTTTTGTGTTCAGAGGGACACATATGCAGAGAATATACAATTTTTATTCTCATCTCTAAATCTCTGGAAAAAATTACTTTTTACTTTTTCATTTTTCTTAAATTTTAAAATAGCGTTATTGTAAAATATTTTACCTAAAATTTCTAATATATTACACTTCCATAACTGATCAATAGTTTTTTAATGAAAAAAAAAAATGGTTTTTTTAAAAATAAACTGTGAATTAGATATATTTATATGATATATTCATATTTTTAAAATAATATATTATCAATGAAAATATAAATTTATTTTCAGTGATTATGTGATTGATTTTTCTCTACATTTGTGTCCCCCTGAAAGAAAACCCAATTGAAAGGAAAAATGTATAGTTATTAACATTCGGATAACACTGTATATAGTATTCTTGAGAGCAAATGATTATCGTTTTCACCTTGAGACTTAGACGTGTGTTTACTACCAATTAAAAAAATTTAATTTTTTTAATAAGACTATATTAATACGTATTATGACATTCACATAGATAATTTTAAATCATTCTTAATATGTACAAAAAATTATATTTATTTGTTTAGTGTTCAATACTTGGTGATATCGCATATTGGTATATTGCATATCAAATTATAAACTATTTACATTTTTTTTTAATTTATTTTGTAGTGGTTCAGATATAAATGACTTTCAAATCCATAAAAATAAAAACGCTTAAAAAAAGCAAAACAGAATATTTAAAAATCAAAAATAGAAGTGGAAAGTAAAAGTCTCCCCCAATCCAACCGCTCGTAATTTATTAAATATATTTTTCTAGCACTACAAAAGTGATAAATAATATTATACGTGTTCCAAAGCAAGTGATTGTTTGTAATTTTTTTAATGTTAGAAAAATTGTATTTAATAAATTAGAGCTATTAGATGCCTTTTAAACTACTATGGATTTTGTTTTTTAAATATTTTTTAAAAACTTGTTTTGTTACTTTTAAGCGCTTTTACTTGTGAATTTCAAGAGTATTTATGTTCGAGCCTTTCGCTTTTAAAATATCATATTGAATATAACATTTTAATTATTATAGGTAAAATCATTTTGGATTATTTCGAACTCACTACAGTCCATAATGGATAGGTAAGTTGTCAACATAGATACGAAATGTTGATGTGGATGATATCTACCCTCATATCTACTACTTGTTTTATTTTCCAGATTACTATTGGATTCTGATAAAGTAAAACACCCACAAAATCCACGGGAAAATGCAAATATTTTTGAAATTCTCACATTTAGGTAAGTCACAAAAATATTTATTTTAGTAAAAGTAATTTTATAATTTTCGTTATTTAAATTTAATAGTTTTGCAAATACTTAAACACTTATATCGGAACAGTACATATACAATCATATTATGTGTTATGTATAGTGTATTAATAAATACAATATCTTTTATTATTTTACTTATTTTCATAACTCGATTTGGGAAATCAAATCAAATCTGTTATTTTTGTAAATCCAATTTCTTATGTAATCTTTTGATATTGTGTTTTTTATTAGCTGGCTGATAAACCTGTTCAAAATGGGAATGAAAAAGGATTTAGAAGAGAACGATTTGTATGCGCCATTACAAGATCACATGTCATCATTATTAGGCAATGAACTAGAGAAGTAAGACCTTGATAAAAACTATAATTGTCTAATATGATGAAGTTGATGAAATTAATTTGTGTTTTTTCGAAAGAAAATGGAGAGTTGAACAAGACATTTCATATAAGACAAATCGTAGACCAAGTTTTTTGAGAGTTCTGATACAGATGTTGGGAGCTAAATATATGTTTTGTGGTTGTTTAATCGCCGTCAACGAACTGATTTTAAAGTGAGAGTTAAATGTTATATTCAATTTATTCGATTATAACTTTTTATACGGCCTAAATGGGTTGAAAAGAGTGTTAATAGTTTGATACCGGGTAGCTCAGTTAAAGGGAAACCAATTTGATAAATCATTTTTTTTCTATTTTTATTAATGATAGAATGGCTCAACCACTGTGTATTGCCGGATTCTTGTCATATTTCAACACCGATAATTCCAATAAAACGGAATTTAGACAAGTATACATTTGGGCATCAAGTTTTTTATTGGGCATGTTTATTACATCGACTTTGTTTCATTCGCTCCATATGGAGATTTACCATTACGGTATGAAGATGCGAGTGGCTTGCTGTTCGATAATTTATAGAAAGGTAAACATATAAAAAACAACTGATTTAATTGAACAGTTGAAATACAAACGTTTTAATAAAGTTTAAATAAATCTTTCAAATACTTAATTATGATTTTGACAAGTAAAGTAACAAGTGGTCATTATTTTTTTAAGCTTTTTTAGAACAACCAACAACAAATATAATACAATATATATATATACAACAAAACTGGGGATAATTGTATAGTGAAATAGACATAAATTACATCTTAAAACATAGATAAATTTCTTTATAGACATATGTCTTTATAATTCAATATGATTTTAATTATTATTTTGGACCCTTTACATTTACATATTGTGTATATTTATTAGTTTCCGTTGTTTAAATTATGTCTTATTGTCTTATTCTAAATATCATTTAATCTATTGTTGCATAGGCACTACGTTTGGGTCATACCGCACTTGGTGAAACTACAGTTGGTCAAGTGGTAAATTTAATGTCAAATGATGTTAATCGATTTGATTCGGCATTAACATACATTCACTATTTATGGATTGGTCCTCTGCAAACCGTAATGATTACATATTTTGTCTGGCAAGAGATTGGGGTTTCGTCATTAATAGGAGTTGTGACATTATTAGTTTTCATCCCTTTACAAGGTTTGAAAATGTGGAATACACATTGAAAATAACGTACAAAATAAACAACATTCAAAAATAACTTGTGCAATATTTAATGTATGTTCAGGTTGGTTTGGGAAAAAAATTGCAGAATTTCGATTGAAGACAGCTAAATTTACCGATGACCGAGTCCGTTTAATGAACGAAATCATATTGGGCATACAAGTAATAAAAATGTATGTATGGGAAAAACCATTTGCAAATCTTATGGAACAAGTGAGAAGGTAGGTGGTAACATTTATTGAATATGAAACAGATATTATGTGAAATTCAGGTCGATGATTATAAAACCGTAAATGTCATCTAGAAAAGAAATTCAACAAATCAGAGGGTCATTAATCATCAAAATTATTTCACAGTCGTTCTATGAATTCCAAACGAAATTACAAGTGTTTGTTATGATTTTGTCATACGTATTACTGGGAAATTATATCTCTGTAGAAAAAGTAAATAAACATATTCGATTTATTACGCCAACAAAAATAATATACTCGGGTGAATATTTTTCTATTTATTACAAGGTATATGTTGTGACTTCTTATTATTCACTTTTACGGTTAACGATGGGGTTCTTTTTCTCATACGCGCCTGGACAATTAGCTGAACTTCTAGTATCCATAAAACGCATACAGGTTTATAATTAATATTTTTTTTTTCTACAATATACTTATTATTAAAACTACGAAACTGGGTACCAAAACCACGATTGCAACAACTAAATATATAATACATTTGTACACAGCATTTTTTAATACACATTGAAAGAGACAATCAGATATCGAAATTTTCAAACAGTTTGAATGATTTGCGTTCTAAACCTAATGAACTATCCACACCAAATGACGATGACACAAAAAAAGATATACAAGATTTAAATAATATTGGTATAGTTGTGTCAAACGCCACTGCGAAATGGGCCTATGATCAAACAGATAACACGTTGGAAAATATTAATCTTAACATTGGACCGGGTAGATTGGTTGCAGTTATTGGTTCAGTGGGAGCTGGGAAAGTATACAATTTTATATCTAACAAAATTAATAAACTAAAAATAATACCCCTCTCACAATATCCTTTTTAACACCCAGTCTATTCTCTCCTCCTCACAAAAAATATCAAATATTACTTCTCTGATCTTCTTCATCAACCAGTCTGATCATAAAATTAAAATTTTTCTTTCTGTATTCCTTTTCCGTGATGTTATAATGGAAATCATACTAAATTAGTTTTCAAACCTGGTTGTATTACAAAGTTTCCACTAAAAAAAAACAAATAATAAAATAAAAAAACAATAACGTTTTTTTTACAGAGTTCGTTGTTACAAGCGATTTTGGGAGAATTGCCACTTTCTGAAGGAAATNTATTTTCAGGATCTGTTTTAGATAATATAATATTCCACTCACCAATGGATAAACAACGTTACAAACAAGTGAAAATAAACTTATTATATTTTTATAAAGCAAATAAAATTAATGTTTATTACCCCCCTTCCTCCATTTATTTTTATGTAATAGGTTATAAAAGCATGCGCTTTAAAAAACGATTTGAAAAGTTTTCCATACGGCGATCGTACAATAGTAGGTGAAAGGGGTGTAACTCTTAGCGGTTGGCAAAGGGCAAGAATAAACTTGGCAAGATAAATCGAACATGGCTAATTAATTGTAATTATTTCATTTTAACAATATATTTTAGAGCAATATACAAAAAAGCAGATATTTATTTATTAGATGACCCATTATCGGCTGTTGATACTCGTATTGGCAAATATTTGTTTGAAATGTGTATAAAAGGCAAGTTTTTTTTAAATGGATTTTGTCGTAATAAATCTATTGATGTATTTTCAATACTTAGGTTACCTCAAAGAAAAAACATGTATTCTCATTACACATCAGATCCAATTCCTGGCCAATGTAGATCACATTTTGCTAATGGAAAATGTAAATCCCAATTTATATGATTATATTATAATTAATAGTACAAAGCGCATAGCTATTATAAGACAACAATTATAATTTACTTTAATTGAAAATGTTCTTATTTTTCGTTCAAGGCTAGTATTAAATCTACCGGATCTTATCACGAACTTATAGACTATGGTTTTGATTTTTCAAAATTGCTCGGATTTCCAGAAGAAACTATTGTCGAATCGCATATAAAATGTGAAAATGCAAATAAAAAAAAGCTGAATACAAACCATACTTTATCGCGTTCTGGAGATAATATTAAATCATTTATTAACAGAGATACAGTAAAACCTATGAAAGAAGAAGAGGCCCATTGTTCCGGACATGTTTCGAAAAAGATTTATCTATCGTATTATTCTTCCTGCGGGAGCATTATTAAAATTGTTTTTGTAGTACTTATATTTACTTTAGGTCAAGTAATAACTGCATTTGATGATATATGGATTAGTGTTTGGTAATACAGATATAATTTTTTAGCGTACACACTTGTATACGCGTGTAAAATGCATTTAAAGTATAGTAATACATTTTTAGGGTAAACGAAGAAGAAAATATTTTTCGCAACGTGAACAATACGATTTCACTCAACAGTACGTTAATGGATCACGGTTCATTTGATCAGAGAAATAATTGGACATCAAATTTGCGCTTTATCCGTATAATAGTAAATACCGTTATTACTGTGGCATTCGTAATGATTATNCGGCGTGCACAAGTGCTTCAATAAATTTACATAATACAATGTTCAACGCTGTAACTAGAACGTCTATGCATTTTTTTCACACTAATTCGTTAGGTAATAATAAAAGTTGATACATTGCCTACATTATGATACATTTATGATAATATAGATATTTGTTTATAAAGGACGGATTTTTAATCGTTTTTCAAAGGATATAGGCGCCATCGATGAAAGTTTACCATTCATTTTATTATACTGTTTACAAGTAACGAATGATTATGCTAAACCGATATAACAATTGTACAAAGGCACACATAAATTTAATTATTAAAATGTTTTATTTGTTAACATATAAATTAGACGACAGTGAAAATTGCGGGAATCATATTTATTGTCGGACTAGTTAACATATTTTTTACGATACCGTCGATTATTATTTTAGTACTTTTTTATTATTTAAGAACGCTCTATTTGCCGACATCTCGAAGTGTAAAGCGTCTTGAAGGAATCGGTATCAACACAATTATTATTTTATTATTGTTTAATCATGCAATATTCTACCTAATTTATGATTTTTGAAATTTAAAAAATACTTGTTTCATACATTTTCATTAGCTCGAAGTCCTATTTATGGACATTTGGCTGCTTCTGTACAAGGATTAATCACAGTACGAGCACATAAAACAGAGAAATTCCTAATTCAAGAATTTGATAAACATCAAGTACGTATATATACATTATTTTATTGAAATTTAAATAAATAATAATACGAAATGTTTTATTTTCAAATCATAAATACCTATTACGGCCTTTCAAATCATGCTTAGAATCTGCATAAAATCGTTTTCCGTTGGCAATGATTATTCGTTGGGTACAGAATACAGATACATATTAAATATCCCCTCTACGTTTCCGACTTTTTACTTATAATAGCGGGTCATTATCGTGGGAAGAATGTCCGTTTGATTTTAAACTTTCTATATTTTAAATAATACTCGTAGTTTTTACTATAATAATATTTTGTATCTTTTGTATCTTTTTTAATATTATAATCATATTACAAACTGTTTAATTTTTTATTTAAAACGCAGGACTTTCATTCCTCTGCATGGTTTACGTTTATCTCTATAAATCAAGCATTTGGTTTTTGGACCGATTACGTCTGTTTAATTTATATGAGTATTGTAACTTTAAGCTTCTTATTTATGGAAAAATGTGAGTTTTAGAAAATCTAAATAGTCTGCACTGTTACGTATAATATTTGAATGTCTTTTCAGATATTACTGGAGCTAATGTCGGATTAACTATAACTCAACTAATTTCTCTTGTTGGAAGTGCTCAGTGGGGATTACGGCAATCAGTGTTATTAGAAAGTGAAATGACCTCTGTCGAAAGAGTCAATGAATACTCAAATTTGCCACAAGAAACTACACTTCAATCTGCACAGGGTAATTCTGGATTAACATCCAATTATATTAAACATTTGTAAATGCCATAATGCATATAATGCTATAGCTTATCAATAAATCACTGGTAATATTTTAATTAGATAAATTTTCATCAAAAGGATGGCCAAATCGAGGGAAAATTATGTTTCAACATTTTAGCTTACGGTACAGTAAAGATGCGCCAAACATTTTAAAAAATCTCAATTTTACTATTGAACCAAAAGAAAAGGTAAATTGAGTTTATTTAGAATACACTGGTTAAAAAACTAGTAAATTTAAAAAAATATATTATTCATCGTACAATTAGGTTGGGATTGTTGGTAGAACTGGCGCTGGGAAATCTTCCATAATAGCAGCACTGTTTAGGTTAGCGTTTAATGAAGGTAAAATCTTTATTGACGAAACAGAAATACATTCACTGGGATTACACGAATTACGATCAAAAATTTCCATCATACCCCAAGAACCGATTTTGTTTTCCGGAACTATGCGAACCAATTTAGATCCTTTCGGTGAATACCCTGATCATACACTTTGGGATGCTTTAGACAAAGTAATGGAAATGATCCGAAATTGTTGTTTTTGTTATTTAGGTTTATTTTATTTTTGTCTATAGATAGAACTAAAAAGAACTATTGAGAATTTACCTGGTGGTCTAGATACGAAAATGTCCGGAAGTGGTTCCAATTTCAGTGTTGGTCAAAGGCAACTAGTATGTTTGGCTAGGGCAATTATTCGAAATAATAAAATTCTCGTTTTGGATGAAGCCACAGCAAATGTTGATTTACAGTAATAAAGATATGAATCTAAAATAAGTTTATAGATTTAATAATAATAATTTCATTAATCTTTTTAATTTCTCAGAACTGATGCATTAATTCAAAATACAATACGGAACCATTTTGAAACGTGTACAGTATTGACGATTGCTCACCGCTTGAACACTGTTATGGATTCTGACAAGATTATTGTAATGGAAGAAGGACGTATGGTTGAATTTGATCACTCATATAATTTGTTAAAAAATAAAGATGGCTATTTCTATAAAATGGTAGAACAAGCAGGACAATTCACAGCTAATTCGTTTAAACGTATAGCTGCAGAAGTAGAACTTATAACAGTATCATCGTAATATTTTTCTTCATTTTGTGTTTGATATACCTTCATTAATTGTATGTTGTTGTTTTTTTCTTTTAGAGCTACAAATCTATAAAGACAAAACTGTTAGTGTGATTGAGTATTAAAAATATTGGTGTAGCATAAGACAATTGTAACAGGACATTATAATGTTTACCTACACTTAATTGTTGTGAACCACATTATACAAATTTTATATCATTTAATTTCTCTTAAATTATTAATAAGATGTCATTTAACCTAACCCTAACAGTATTCATTAGAATATTAATATATACGTAAATGTAGAAAAACGTCCTAGAATAATGGGGATAGGTTTAGCCACTGTTATAGATAATTTAATGTATACCTGTAAGCAACAATAAACCACTGCTTATAAAAAAACGATTCTGAGCAGAGTTCAGTTGATAGTGATAGTTTGTCAACAATATATATATAATTTTAAAGTAAAATAATTAAATTGGCTTTTTATATTTTCTTTAATCATTTTTGTTTAATGTACCGATTTTCCCAGTTTTCCAACGTTTTTCCCGGTTTTCCCATGTTTTAACCCGGTTTTTCACATTTGCTGGGAAAACTTTTGGAAAAATCGAAAAATGACATTTCTTTGGTACTTAATCAAATTTCTTTTAGAAACATTGTCAACATTAAAAGTTGGAGCAAAGTTGCTAGTAGAAAAGTTGTCTACTGGAAAAAAATAATTATAATTTATATTTATTATATTTTGTACATTTTCCCGTTTTTTTTTTTCGGTTTTTCGTTTTTAATGAGAAAACTCTTAAGAAAATTGAAAAATTACATTCTTAAAGTACCTCCCCACACCGATTTCCTTTCAGAAAAAGTTCCACATTTAGAAATCCGATCAAGTCTTCTGGTTGAAAAGTTGTTAACAGATAAGAACAAAATAAACACCTTTGTAAAACCATAAGCTTCTTCGCTCCACTCAGAATCTAAAACATTATTCATCCTACCTTCCCAACTTCCCTACTCATTCTATTAAATAATTATTTATTTATTATATTTTAATTATTAAGTGCTTAGTGTTTTATACAGTTCTGTTAACTATTAAATGCCTAAAATAAACATACCTATTCCAATCATAAAAATACGAATTGACAACCATTTTATGTATACCTGTATATTTACTGTGAGCTGTCCAACAAGATGTCAAAATAACAACTATTTATAACAATTTATAATGTTCGAGTTTACACGAATATACAGTATATTTCATCAACGATGAAAAAAAAAATTATTTCGGAATTACTAAGACCTGGCTATGTTGTCAATAAACAAAACGTATTCAATCATCCCTGATGTAGTGCTGGTTCAATTATCAAATAAGAAAAAAAGGAAGCTAGAATTTTTTTTTATATATGTTTACTTAAATGTGCACCTAAATAGTATAAATAATATATAAGTAATAATAATAATAAATTATTATTAACCCTCTCCTCCTCAGAGCAACGTTAAACGTGTACACCACTGATCCTATACGTTTTCAACGTTTATCACCCTCAACAATAGCCTACTTACTGTAACACCATCCGAGGAGCATAACGACAAACACATGCAATCAGTGGCTCAGCTTTTCTTTTTTTTTCAAAATTAGTTAGTATTAAACTCTATTGTATTATACGAAAAAACGCATACTGCTTTCACATTCAAATGATCGAATTCCTTTGTCAAACGTAGTGACTACCACCACGTGTTTTATAGTGGTAGTTGGTTATGCATGTATTGTAGTAGGAATGCGCGAAAATATACGAGTTTTTGTTCGCCGCCGTATGCGTTCTCTCGTGTAACGGAGTATAGTAATCAAATATGTTTTTTATCGAAGATAAAATAGCAAAAGTTACAATGTAATCAACTACAAAGAAACCTGCGGGAAAATCGATTACTTGTTTTATCAATTCAATTAAAAACAATAACACATGTAATATAATATAGGTTATATAGAATATAATAACGTCTAATTTTAAATAAATTTTTGGAATGGTGCATTTAATGGAATCGATTCTTGTGGCTTTTAACCCTGAAACAAAACAAATAAGAGTAAAATTTGCGTTAGATATTAATAATATTATAATCGTTTAAATTCAATGTTCTCATGTCGTTTACTCTTGAGTTCATACAAATAACATTATGTTATGTTCTAAACGAGACCAGTCAATAGTAAAACATTTAACATATAAAGAAGAGTACAGTGTTATTATGGTCAAAATAATAAGGAATAAGGAGGTTATTCATATGTCAAGATGGACACGCCGTGGAAATCTAAATGGTCAATTAGTTAGGTCAAGTGAAAGAATCGGATTGGAAAGTTTATAAGATATAACCTTTCATGTAACGGTAATAATTCAAGGAAGAAATCGTGAAAATACTGTACTATAATACAGGAATGGGAATACCAAAGGTCATCATGAAGCCAGTGACGTAAAATACTAGCATAATATATATATATATATATATATATATATATAAATGTATAGCATAAATAACTAAAGTAGTCAACAGAGATAGATGAAAAGAATCATAAATAGTCGTTTAATCAATCCTGGGGTTGTAAAAACAAAAATAGTTGAATCGAATTATAATAATTTGATTCGAGCATTTTAAATTATAGGTTTTAAAATAGTATTATAGTAAGCGAAATTGTTCAATGTAAATATCGCTTTGAGCATTATTTTCAAACAACCACTTTATTATAATTATTATTATTTTAGTATTTCGTTTACCAAATTTGTTTCGATGCTTTTTTCCAAAACTGAATTTACCCATGAATCGATATTGTTGACGGCTGTAAAAATGCCGTCGCTCGTTTTGATACTGTACAACCGTTCGTCACACACTAGAGGAGATCCCATGGTTTTAAACTGACAAAAAAAAAAAAAAAATGACAAGCGATTATTAGTAAATATACAAAAAAAAAAAACTATACTAGTATAATGGGGACGGATGCAGCCACTGTTTTAGGTAATTTAATGTATACCTTTAAGCAACGATTATCATTATTATTTTAAATCGTTTATTTTAAGAATAATGAGCCCCAATGAACGATAAACCATTGTGAACTAAAAAACGATTCTAAGTAGGGTTAAGTTGATAGTGATGTTTTGACAAAAATATACATGTTATATTATTGTAAAATAATCATGTATGCATTATAATATAATTATTATTATTCTTTAATAAGATTTGTTTAATGTACCGATTTTCCCATTTTTCCTAGTTTTCCAATGTTTTTTCCCGGTTTTTCACATTTGCAAGGAAAACTCTTGAGAATATCGACAAATTACCTCTTTAAAGTACCTCCACACACCAATTTAATTTTAGAAAAAGTGCTGAACCTAAAAATCGGAGCAAGATTTCTAGTATAAAAGTTGTGCACAACTAAAAAATAAATATCTTTGTAAAAGATCCACTCAGAATCTAAAATAGGTTACTACAATCATAAATTAAATGAAGATCGATTGATACATAGGTAGGTGCTGTATAAATATAATGCAATTGAATGATATTTTTCATGGTCAATTTTCAAAAAAATGGTTGAGCCACTGTAAATGTTAAGGAGTATGTCGATAAAAGTAGTGAAAAAATAATATCGTTGTGTTGGACTCACTGTGTTCGTCATAAATTGCACATCACCAACACCGGCACAATTATAATTCAACATTTGTTTGGGTAGTGAAATCTTATCACATGTGCCCGGATCCAGCAGTTTTAACGAAAAACCATAAACGGCGTTTTCCTGAAACACGCGTAGGTATCAGTAATTTTAAGTGTTTAGCACAATCGAATAATAATGGTAGGACAGTGTGATAAAAACAAAAAAATGAAATAATCTATTTCATTAAAAGCTATTCATATTCTGTGTATAAGAAAAAGTTAGGTATTTCATAAAAACTACGCAATCAAAATCCGTTTCGTAATGAAGACATAATCGATCATCGTGTAAAATCACATCATTCACGATATGGATGCTTTTAATGGACATCCAATTCACGAAATTAGCGATTTCATTAAATGCTTGTGATATATTATAATTATTTTAATTGTGGCAATGAGACGATTGAAGTACATCTTCCATAGAAAATTTTAATTTTCACTTTACACTTACACTTGAACTACTGTATTTGCATTTCGTTTCCATGGGATGTACATAGTTTGACAGTTTTATCGGTTTCACATTTTTGCTTTCGACGATCGGTTTAATCTAGAAAGTAGTACAAAAATAACATTTATCTTCAATGTATATGATATATATTATATATGTGCATACATTATCAAGGCCAGAACTAGGTTGGGTTGGGAAGCATAAACGTGCGCACAGGGGAGGCAAGAGAGGCGGTTGCCTCCCCTGTGAAATTTACTGCTAAATATAAAAAAAAAAAAACATACTTTATAGAATATATATATACATATTTTTTTTTTTTAAATACTAAACCCCAATGCACCCTAATGTAGTACCTTAACTTCATACATTGGCACAAGCAGGGGAGGAGCTTTTGGAGGATTTCAACCACCCCTTCCTCTACTGAAAACTCATCGAAGCCTCCGAAAATAAAGTACTTATCGAGTAAAATAATAAGTATTCAAAACCAATATTGTAATGACAGGAGCTTAAGATATTAAGCCTAAAATATTTGGACTATTTGAAAGTATGATTTTAGTGTAAGGTTTGGTTTTAATGATCGTTGCCTCCACTGCTAAAAGGACCTGAGCACGCTTATGGTTGGAAGAAAACGAGAATTTATCCTTACGCGTATTCGCGTAACATTACTATGTATATTTACTTAAAGGTACTAGGAGATCGTGTACAGTGTACATTTCGCATTTTATAAACATCGTGATCTGAAGAAGGGGGAACTCCGCATATACTATTTTTATACCCGGATGAACAACTTCCTAATTTTCTGTTCATTATTTATACTTTAGAAATTTATTGAAAATCATGATTACTTTTGGTGATATCTTTCGTTTTGTTTAAGCAGAGTTCACGCGGAGCCGTAAACTGGTCGAGAACGCTATCACTATCTAACCTAACCTAGCTCCACTACACTTTTCAGCTATAACCAGACTATAAAACCTACAAAACTATGGGATTTATTTTTTTTTTAACTCGCCTTTACTAATGCTACGTCATTGGCTCCGGTATCGAAATCAAACTGCGGATGAAAGACCGCGAATGACAAGTGCCGGATAACGGCCTCAGGATTACGGACGCTCACTGTTCCCACCACCGCACTCAACCAATCTCCCGACACGCCACCATATCTGTACATGAAGCAGAAAAAAACATTTTCTCGAAAACATATCGTTCTCATGAACCATGGAAAAAGGTAGTTAACAGAATCTGCAGGTTATTAAAAAAAACACGAGGGTACCTACTTTTACCAAATACCAAATACCAAAAGAAAGAAGAGAAGGAGAATCGAAAGTAATAGTATTAAAAACTTATAGTTAAAATAAAATTTAATTTAAATTATATTAAGTATACTTTTTAAGACAAGATCCAGTCGTTATGATCCATTCGGTGCTGATCAACGCGCCTTGGCACAACACCGAATCTTTGCCCTTCAGCACGAACGCGACCTATCAAAACCATAATAGTATAAGAACTTCGAATCTATTTAAAATATTATTTATATACAGATAAAATTACGAATGAGTATTTACTTGATAAGGGTATTTGAGTGCGCTTGCTACGTACTGAAAACCTATAAAATCTTCCGGTGGTTGAATTTCAATATCTTCGTCGGATTCTTCGCTGCTACTGATGCTGCTATCAACACCACCAATCCAGTCAAAAGAGTTTATAGATGAACCTACAATATATATATATATATATATATATATATTTAAAGTCAATATTCATTTTTATTTCAATTCATATTTCCAAAAATTAGTTGTATGAGATATTTTTTTTTTGATTTCTTCGATAGATTTTATTATACACGAGAAACCTATTATAAGTACAATTATTATCAGAAAAATATTTTTTAAAACAGTTTTTCTAAATTTACAAAAAAAAAAAAAAAAAAAATGTATATTAAATTAATAGATTTTCAAAGCAACACACGCTCGAGAACTATGCCAGTTTGTATTCCGAAATATTGACTTACATTTGACCAACAGCAAAAAGCACGCCAACACCTGCAGACATAGAAAAGGCTTCATTCTATGACCGAATAAAAAATGTATATCGATCTATAACCAGTAATGCAGTAGTATACAAACTAAAAGTTCGACTAATACGAATTCATTTATATCAATTTGATAACATTAATAACGCAAGTACCTACTTACTTAAATACGACTACTGATTAATGTCCACTTAATTATTGTGTTGATCGCAAACAATTTACCTGAACCGATAAACTAATCTCACTTGTTTTTGTGGTGCGTAAGTATACATACCTATCGATCTATAAATATTATTAACATACTGCGTTGCAAAACTTAAAAAAAGGGGGTATTCATTATTATAATAATATACTTAATCATTTTTTATAACATACAATTCAATAATAATAAGTCACGTATTTATAATATGAATCGTTGTTTTTTATTAACTACTAATTCACTACTCCTGTGTTTCCTAAACATTGAACAAATTACTATTATGGTATTTAATAAAGAGAATAATTACTAGTGCTGGATACCAAATTCGGATCAATCCGAATACGGATTAAAGGTATCAATCCGAATTATAAATATTGATTATCATATTATAAATTTATTTAAATTAACATAATATCCGTTTAACTGTTCCAAGTTATCTCGTTCATTGGTATTTACTATGTATTTTATATTTATTAGTATCTAGCTCATATTTTAGACAAATTATTGGATTGAATCCGAGATTCGGATTGACGGATTGGATCCGACAATCTGGATTATGTAATTGCATTCTGATCAAAATATTACTCAGCACAATTAAGTGACAATTATCTTTATGCCTAATTAATGTAAAATTAGAATAGGAAAAACTGAAAGGTCAAAAGTATTAAGTGTATAATCTATAAAACTATAACAGAAAATCAGAACAATATTCATTTTTATTCAAACTACCAATAAATTCGATAGGTTCTTTTGAATTTAATCTTTCAAATTATTAAAGGGACATCTAAATTATCGATAATTCAATAAACTCGTTATATAATAATATAATATAATGTCAACAGTTAAAACTTGAATTAACACTTGTAACGTTTCGAAATACAAATAATTATAATAATATAACTTATTAAATAGGAATTACATTCTAAACCGCAGAGATTTAGTGCGTTATACTAATAATCTAAATTGGCGCTTTACAATAACAATTTTATACCTTTTATATAATTTACGGAAAAGCAATTCAGTATTTGTCAAACACTTAATATATTTTAGACATAACATTGTTACACATGCTAGAAGTACTATTTATTGTGGTCACAATGATGTGCTACAAACATCTTTTGTTCGATCAATCGAAGGTCGAACTACAATTTGTATTAATATGGTAATATGTAATACCGTAATCGCAATAAAATAAAAATAGATAAATTAATAGATTAATCGATATTTTCTCAATATGTTACATTCTTTAAGTGCATTACAAATACAACGTTTAGTGTCTGAGATGCATAAAATGTTTTGTTAAATTTATTTAATAGTAGGATTTGTCGAAAGCATATACGGTTCATGAAATAATGTAAGATGGTTTGTAACTTGGTTTACTGATTAGACGTTGATTTACTAAACTAATTACCTAGAGAAATGATTATAATACATCGATAACATCACACTTTAAAATGCGCACAAATATGAAAATTGTATCGTTATACTATAGGAAAATATAATTTGTTGAGACTATAAAGCTTTCAGTACACTAAATATATAAATAAACCAATATTTTAAGTGTTTTATAGCCAAATTTGGATCTCTTATGGAGTTAATAGATTTAATAGTTTTAATGATTTGTTAAAGATCTAATAATGGTTTATTCAACGTATGTTGAACATAAGAAAATATAACGTAAGAATATTAAAATATTTCGATTTATATAAAATTGTCAGGGATCGTTATATTTTATTAATGCAATATGATTTCAGATTAGTAAGACTAATGAGAGATTACTTTAGATTATTCAGATAACTGTGATTATATTAATAATATTTTAAAAACAAAAAAATAACAGCATTAGATAACTCAGTATAGACTATAAAACAAATTTTCTTCATCTAAATCCGAAGATTTACACACAAACATAAAATAATGATACTCGTTCAAACTATTATTATTACAACCATATATTTACTTTTTCTAATACATTTATATTTTCTGATAAACCTAATTTTTGGGAGGGGAAACTACAAATTATTTGTTTCAACTGATTATAAATTATAATATAATTATTATAATTTAGTTTTTTCTAATTTTCTATTACATGGACGCGATTTTGAGGATGGACGTTTGATGTCTAACATCCTGGTATTATCATATTTCGTTTGTATAATATGCCGTGAAATTGAATAAAAATGGCCGTAGCAAAAAATATGAGAACGTTAAAAAATGTCCACACACCTCGAAATTGCGTCAACTTTTTCTACTAGGTTTCTTATAAATTATTATAATAATATTGTATAATCAAACAAACTGACTAGACTACTATTTAATTACTCTACAATATTTACTATTTGATTACTCTATAATATTATAAACACTGCCAAATACGGGCTATTTTTACGATCAAAATCGCTGATCATTCGAACGTCGTTTACTGCTTATCCGGAGATTTTTCTGGAGAGACTCCGCTAACGTTCATTCCTTTGTGCAACATGTTGTTGATGTTCTCCACTGCTTCGTCTTCGGCGTGTATTTTCCTCAGGGCGTTGCTCACGATGCACAGGTCACCTCTGAGTTCCGAGACCAACGCTACTATTTTGTCCGTGTTGCTTAATATCTCAACGCTCTGAGTGTACGGGTTGTAACGTACGCCAAACGGTTTTTGAATGCTGTCCGCAAATTCTCTGGAATCGAAATTGCAATCAATATATAAGTATACATCAGATAAAATTTTTCAAGGATTCTCACCCCCAGTGAATTTTTATTCAAATGAAAAATTATATTAAAATACATAAGAACAGTTATACAATTATGAATGTGTATTATGTACAATCTAGACTAAATAATCACCTCATTTTTTCCTTCGCTTCCTCAAATGTTTCGCTATAATAGTACGCATTTTGGTACGAAGTAATAATGCACTCTTGATGGCACGTGACTTCCGGATCGAATCGCATAATCTTGTCTTTGGTTTCAATCGCATGTCGCAATTCGGCCACAGAACTCAAAAGTCCGGCCCCGTAAACCTTGAGTTCACCGTCTTGCTTGCACATTCCAAATTCCACGGTAAAGAAGTAAAGCTGCAAGCATGCACGATTACCATTCGATTAAAGTACAATATTCATACGAAATTAAAAAATAATGCGTAGGAGACATTTTATAATTACGCAAACGTACATTGTTATTATTAGATATTCTTAAGAATAATATTATGATCCCTTGAAGTTTAAAACTACTACAGTAAAATAATAGATAAACAAAATTCACGCCGTTGAAGTTTTAAAGTTTAGGTGTAACAACATACCGTGGCCAATTTTTCGACATCTTCGTCGCTGGCCCCCAACGAATTGAGTCCAAGTTCTTGCGAGAACTGCGCAAAAGTTGGATTAGCCAGCAACGGCATGTGACCCAACAACTCGTGGCAACAATCCGGTTCTGGTGTGTAGAACGGATCCGAAGAATGGCGGATGTACTGGGTGCAGTGAAAAACGCGAAAAGCAAGTCCGGACAAGAAGTCTCTGGGTGACAAGTACCCGGCTACGGGCCGTAATTGGAATCCTGTTTTGCCTGAAATCCGTAATTTCGGTGTACATCGGTATACATCGGTACATTGTTGACAAAGTTTTTACAGAAAAAACAAAAACATTCAATAGAAGGACTGCCTTCGTAGGGCTCTAATTAAGCGTGAACTTACGTTTCAAAAACGTATTGACGTCTTGCAATTGGGGAATGTTGTCCTCCCGGTAACCGCAGTACTTGACCAATTCCGGCCAGTTTTCTAAGTATTCTCGGCACGCATGCTTCACGTACAGTTTGTGAAGTTCACGCATCACGGTGCTCCTGTTTTTTGAAATTAAAATCACAAACTAAATTATGAATTAATACATTTGCTTAATTATATCCGTACAAAATGATAGATCGTTGCCAACGAAAAAGATTCTTGGTGAATTTAGGGTAATTATATTGTGATAATATTAAATTGAAAATTATAATTGTATTAATTTTTAACCATAAAAAAATAACAACTGTCCATATTTTTAAATTGAAATTGAATCCATATAGTATTATAATTTAAAAACCTCGACATTTTCAAATAAATGATTCGAATAACGCCACAATATTTATAATGTCTAAATATATATCACCAATATATCTAAGTGTTTGGTGAAAATGTTTAGTCTTTAAGAATTTTTTTCAGTGAATCACATAGTAAAATATTTTTGTTTTCTTTTAACTTCGTCTCAACAATTTGGGGTCGGCTAAGTCCGAGACAAGAAAATCTACCTAAGTCTTATTTGGTGCTCTTTGTATTATTTGATAGGATTTTACATTGGCCGTCAACCCTATACAACCCCAATTTTCACCTTTTACGACAGGTAGAAAATATTGTACAAATTTTCCGGTTATCGGACAGAAAAATAAACACATCGTAGTAAAACTAATAAATTCCTTGTTATCAGAATCTCAGAATTTATAAGAGCACGCATCATAATAAAATCAATACACATTTCTTCCTGCGCTTAAAGCCTAGAGAAAAAAAAATACGTGCTCCGAAATAGATTTTAAGAACATCATTATATATAATAAATAATTTATTGGTTCTATTTGGAAAAAGTGAGTAACGCGCGCGTGTCTTTATTGGCCTCGTTTCTATATTATTTTTTATAGTCGTATACCTTTGGGAAATATACGGAACGCGATTTAGTAGAAAACGTTGTATTTGACATACGATATTATTAATGATGGCGTTTCACGTGCAGCCCCACGAGCCAGTTAGGAGGCCGGATTGTCCGTCATGTCCCGTAAATATTAAATATAAGTTTCGTTATGTCCTGACGTAATATAATATAATGTAATCTCTCGGATTCTATAATATCAAATAATCAAAGTTCATATTCAAAAAAACGTATACGCCAATACTACACAGAGTGTACCATGGAGATCTGACAAACGCGATAATTTTTATTCTAAACAATAATTATACAGTATTTTAAGAGTTTTTTCTTTTGATAAATAATTTATTGAGACACTTTAGTGTATTATGATTATAAAATCATTTCAAAAAATCATATAGTTAATGGCTCATTGTTAGTAAACATTTGTAATAATTCTGCTCTAAATCCAAAAAAAAAAAAAAAAATTTAAAGGTTTTTCAATCCAAATAGATTCTTTTAAATTAATTTTATAGTTTTGAAACATTCTGTGTATCGAATCGGATCAATCGGATATTAATACAATAATTACAATATTAATTTACGCCCATTTAATCGCAAGCCAAGGCATTGTACTAGTTAACAATACAAAATAAATACATTATATTATTAATAAATTATCAAGCACCAAGTTTTGATCTCCTCTTGCGTGTACTGAACTCTCGGTATTGGATGGCCACTGAAATATCAAAAACGTATAATTAAGACACGATCGTATGGTTGTATTAAGAAAGAATACTTCGAAAAATACTCAGTGGCCACTGGCCACTGCAATACCGGAACTATAATAATGTATTACAACATATTAAATTGATAGATAGGTGACTTACTACTTGTAACTGTTCGCTATGTTTGCGAATTCCACGCGCCTTTTCCGGTAAACTGGATCTTTGAATCCCTGTGAAAATACTACAAACATCAGTTACAGCCTCGAAACAATAAAAATAAAAAAAAAAAAAATCACAAACTACATCGTTCGAGTGCACAATCGTTTAAACTATAGGTGATAGACGCACTTAAACTTACTAACAGAATAAAGTGGGTATTTGTTAGTAATTGAATAATCGACAATAATGCATACACGTACGATTAATATTACTTAAATTATTATTTGTATACAGGACCATCCATTTATTATATGTCCTCTGGTCCAAATTTTAAACTGTTATAACTCATGTTATTGTGTTACACATTAATTTTTTTAGAACAATATTCAAAATTGTGGGAGAAATTGTGGGGCTAGAGCACCGCTATTTTGAAATAAATTGTATATACACGGTTAAAATACATGGGTACATATAAAAACTGAAAATAATAAATTAAAATAAAGTTTAAACAATTCCATAGTTATTGAAAAACATAAATTTAAATGAACTTAAAATCTAACAAAAAAATCGTTGGCTCATAATAAATGGATTACCCCATAAATGCACGAATCGCTTACCGGATGATCAGCGTCCAGTTCAGTTCCGTACATGAGTACTCGCTGTGCTCGATCTAAATCGGAAATTTTTTTCGGAAACCACGGAACTTCAAATTCTGAGAAATCTTAAAAGAATAAAAATAAAAACACGGTTTTTTTCGTTTGTGTAACTCGTATATCGATATGAAGGTATACAAAAATTACACAATATGTATTTATCATATAAATGAGAAAAAAAATCTTGTATTGAATCTTTAGTGATTATAGTATAAATATTATTACAAAAGTATAAATTGCACGTGTATTCTTACCAAAACTTGCTGTAGCTGACATAGGTGTAGGTGGCGGTACTTCTGCACCGCTTTCGAAAGTGGCCAAATTTATAGCCGCCACTTCGCGCTTCAACATTCCGGTTAACTGCTCCATTTTTTTATTGTCACATTCCACGTCAACGAGAATCTCAAATTCGGATTTCCTACGACGCGACGGTCTAGACTCGATGTGCAACACGTTTACGCCCAAATCCTAACAAACACTCGAATTTTAGAGCACTGTAACGGTATTTTATACTCGTATAACCGCGAAAATTTACCCCCGTGGTATTTTTTAGTTACATAATCCGATTATTGATTATTATAAAAAGAAAACAGCTTCAAGCTAGTTTTTTGTGGCCGGTTTTTTAATTTTTAAAAGTAGACGATTTGTTTGAATTGTTTCACAGACGTGAACAAATGTTAACATTTTAATTTTTAACTATGAGCTCGAAAACGCATATCGATTTCGAAAATGTAAACATTACGTATAATGTTGAAACATGCTGTCCCTGCAGCGATGAGTGTGATGCAGTATAATAGTGCCACTCGAAAGAGTAACCATACCAAATGTGCGAAGAAATAATATGTGCCGAAATTACATAACAAAATCACAAACATTTGAGTAATACACACACTTTAGGTGTATATATTTAAAAAAAAAAAAATATATTGGCTTATACCTAAGGTAACATTTACATTTTCGAAAAACTAATGCTTTTAGTTCAAACCGCACGGTGACGTCATTGCTATTCAAATGCGTTTCCATTTTAATATATTATGTTAAAAGGACGCCGCCGCACCCGCATGGCCGAGACAGCTCGTACAAACACTGCTCGAGATAACAAATTTACGTTCAGCATGGACAACTGTGTGCTGTTAACTTCAATATCAGATTGAATTTGCCTATTATTAAATTTAAAGATAGGTATACTATCTGTTCAACTATACTCCGGTTTTTCTTTCGATATTTTAATTTTTAACCGAGATATATTAGCATTTTTAAAACGTAATATTTCTCCTGCATGTGTATCTCGTTTAAAAATGAAAATTTAAAAGCCGACATAGTTGCGCAATTGATAATATTCTTATTTTTAAGTTTGACGGTTGGCTAACATACCCTAATACCCAAACCCGGCTCAAGAGGTAAGCGACATAGGCCCACGCCTATGGTGGCATTTGTCAAGGGTATCATTTAAAATTATTGACGTATTATTTACGTGTATAAGAGGTGGCAAAACTTAAGTTTACTTCTATGTGTTTAAACACTCAAGCCGAGCGTGCGAACGAGTGCGAACAGCATATAGTTGTCTCAGCTGAACGAAAATTGTCCATGCCGTACGTTTTTTTTAAGACGCAGACAGCATATGCGGGCGTAGCGTCCTATTAAATCTCATTTGTATACGTTTCAAATTGATTATATTCACCGAACAGCGTTCGTTTATATAATTATATATACAGTAACAAAACACGTGATTCAATTTCTGTTGACACTCGCTTCAAAATATAATTTCGAAATGTATAATTTTACGTTGATTTTGATTTCCCGGAGTGATAGTTTGTTTTGCAGATATTATTTAATTATAGACGCCGTAATTCGTTTTAAATGCGTGGCATGCAAGTTTGTTTCAGCGTATTTAATATTATTATAATAAGTAGTATAATATAATTTATGTTCTTACTTGAAAAACTTGTAGAGCTCGGGCCAATCCACCGACTTGGTTTTTCAATGAGAATATTACGGAGTTTCTCGAGTCGAATCTGGTCGACTCTGGTCGATTACTCACCGGTCTCGGCTAAATGAATTAATTATTATTGCTTAGAAAACGTTTGTCAGTACATATTACAATAATCATTGTGTAATATTGTATTGCATAAGTAAAATGTATTTTAATAATATGCATCTTACGTCCGAGTGCGATGACTCCCTCAGAGTCCAATCTTCTCCACTCCGATAAAGCCATAGGCCGAGAAGACTTTTACCAGAGCCACTCATATCGAACTTCTTGTATATATATATATACAGAGGATATATAGAGGTACACTAATCCGATGAAATTTCTAAATAAAGGTACAAGAAAAGTATATTTTATTAAATTATTGTATACAGTGACGTATTTAGGAAATGTCCGGGATAGAATCCACCCCTCGATAATTTTGATGAACATGTAATGAAAGGTGAAACACATCGTGAGTTTATACAATCAATCTATGATAATATCTATGGGAGAATATTGCACAGGCCAATCCCCCCCTCTAAAAAAAAAAAAATCAAAAATACGCCACTGTTTGTATATTAGTATACTGTCAGTTATTTTGTATCCAATAAACAGCCATTATTAAGAACAATAGATACATTTTTTTATTCCTTACAGCAAATTTCCATAATTCCCTATCTAAATAACGCAATCACAGACCGAAAAAAGAAATATTATTAAGTCAAATTGCTATCAATTCCGCATTTAAAACTTCGATTATAACATGTTTTTAACTTAGGTACGATTCATATAGTTACAATATTATCAACGAAGTAATGAATAAAAATCAAATTATCTCTTTAAAATATCTATTGATGAATATTATAAATACTTATTTTGTTAAGTCGCGACACAAAATATTAACATAATATTTTTCAAATACGTTCATTAATATTCAAATAATAATATTTGTTTACACTCAAAACGTTAAAATCATAATATTAAAATAAAATTTAAACATTTATGTGGACGAAAAAAAAGCGGTCGAATGATCGAATCGTAATGAGTCATATAATGATCGCATTTTAAAATATAGAACGTCCCATCGTATATCCCGATGCTTATATCTTTATTAATATGCAATTTTGTATGAAAAGGACATATTTATTAAGAGAAAAATCAATTTTTTTAATTTCGTTCCTTAATAACTAAAACAAAATAACATTTTAATAATCAATTTTTTAAAATTTTCGAATTGCCACTTTTGTAAATGATATTTTAAACATTTCAATCTAACATATTATATATTGTTTGAAGAGGGACCAAACGTTTCGAAAAATCAAATCGGTTTCAGAAGGACCGGGCACTATTTTATCGGAATCGGTATAGGGTAGGGACAACCGGACTAGTACTCTGTCTTTACGCTGGATTCACCGTAGATAGGCAATTTTCAATTTATAACAAACGAGCGGGAAAGCTGATGAGGATGATCTTGAGGACAACAACAACGACGACAACAATGATGATGGCCACACACGAATATTTATAAACGTCGAATGAAAGATGATCATTTTTATTCATGCAGGAACGACTCGAACGAGAAAGTATAATATGTATGTGTTCGCCACCGGAAAAAATAATAATTTCAATCACAAGATGCCTACACGGTATACGGTAATAAGAGCATTCGGTAATATTTTATAACATTCAACAAAATAATATAGAAAAAAAAGATACGGACATACTTCGCAAAATAGGTGGACCACTGTTGTGAAGGTAGAGGGAAAATGTAATGTTTAATTTAATGTACACAACAATTGCCCATTGCTAAAAAAAAAAAACGATTCTGAGCGGAGTTCGATAAATAGTGTTGATTTTTCAACAATATAATATACGTCATATTATGATAAACTAATTATATATACATTATATATTTTCTTTAATAATATTTGTTTAGTATAATTGTACCCATTATTCCGTCTTTCCTATGATTTTTCCCATATTTTTCCCCAGTTTTGTACATTTATTAGGAAAACAGCTGGGAAAATTAAAAAATGACCTCCTAAAAGTCCGATTTCTTTTCAGAAAAGCACTATAATTAAAAATCGGAGAAAAATTGCTGGTAAAAAATTGTTCACTGATAAAAATAAACACTATTGGAAAACCAATACAAAGACAGAAAAATAGTTTAAATAATGAAAAGATAATTTTATTTATGTGTCGCAAACACATACATATCCGAAAAATACTTTCGTCACTGTTTTAGGATATAAGTTACATTTATTGTAGTAAGTACTGTGATTATAATACCTTATCGTTTATAATAGAACTTATATTAGTAGCCTATTAAATATAATTTTTTCGCATCCTTTCTCTAGAAATTCAAACGACTAGGTATTGCTAAATTCATTAAATATGTACGTATATTAGATTATTATTATTTTTTTTTAGAATATTATACATTATTACAAAGTGACTATTTTGGAAATATTGAAAAATGAATAAATTATACCTTTTTTTTCTCGTGTTTCATGAATGAATATAAAAATATAATTTTTTTTTTTAGAAATTGCATACTAACAAGGATATTGGCACCGACAAAACCCGGCTGAACAACCTGTATACTCAATTTGAAGATATCAAAACAAAACGAAATAGAATCACAAAATAATAATATTAATCAAATAAAATTTGTATGATATTAAACTCAATTGAAAAAAAATATAGAAGGTTTTTTTTGTATATAATAGCTAGGTACCTATAATATTATTATGATTTTTGTACCCGTATTTTTAATTTTAATCGTGGACTCGATTAATATTGTGCATATTTTATGACGCGCAATTATTTCGCATGATAAAATTATTATAATACGTTGAGAATAAGATAATATATTGTCAATAAAAAAAAAATATCTATAGAATTGTCTATCGATTTGAATACAATTGATACGACAAACCATCAGCTGTATTATACTAATTTATATGTTAATTTGTATGTACATATTATATTTAAAGTATTTGTACAGCAGAAACACATGTTAAGATCTCAAAATAAAATTTAAATCATCCTAATAACAGTCAAATTAGGTATACAATATGATTTATTTATCGAATCGTATGGTATTTTGGATACTATTAACAAGTCGGAAATTTCTATTGAAAACAAAGTACACTACTACAGTATCTCTAACATAACAAATCGTCTTAATTACATACAACGGATGACAACTCGTTCTTAAATTATTGGGTACAAATGATCGCCGATTTAGCCGTAAAACCGATATCTGTCAATAAATATAAGTGTTAATTTTCTAAATATTTAGGTAAAAAATCTGGAATTATTATGAAATATGTAAAGCAAAAGACAGCTCATATTTTTAATTGAAACACACGAGAAACGAATTTTTCAATTAGTTTATCGATTATTTCTCGGGGAAATTATTATGTGTAGTTATTGATTAAATCCAGTAATAATATGTTTATCATAATATGACTTTCTCACAAACGTTTCGACAGAAATAGACAATTAAATTAAACCACTAACAAATTTGCCGCTCCCATACATTTTTTCAGCTGCCAAATCTGCCTATTTAGAAATGCGAAACTAAGTGTCGTGAAGGTGCTTTCGATTAAACTCTCAAAACCAGGCTAATTTGGCGTTGTCAACGGCTTCCTCAAACAACCGTGATCAAACATTTGTGCGATTTTCATAAAAATATATTATTCTAATCGGAGCGATAACGCTTCGAACGCGATGCCGTCTAAAAAATTGGGCGTGACTATTATAGGCTAAAGTGCTATTTTATAACAACCTCGATGAATACCTGAACAATGAACATTCTCAACGTGTCAAATCGATTCAATAACTAGATTGAATTAAAACCTATTTCAATATCAAATTTTGACGAAAATCGTAAATATTACGCCATTTAAAACATTTCTAACCGGACTCCGCTCAGAATCGTTTTTCATTAGCAATGATTAACCATTGCATACAAAAATAAATTTAATGATAATTTCCACTCAGAGTTTACAATTGATTTTTTTTTTCGTTCAATGAAACATATCAAAGTTGATAGTATTTGTATCGGTATTACGACTAAAATACATAATTATGGTGTTTCGTAAAATATTGCCTTAATGACGGGCATTAATGTTTGAAAGTAATAACTTTATAAAATTGGAACTTAACTTTTCAATTTAAGTTAGTATATTATGTTATATCGTTAACTAATTAACTTTCCTATCTAGTTTAGTTTTCACTGTATAAACTTGATATTTTACAGTTTTAAATTTTATAAACAATGGTTAATCAATTTGATGAACTGAAGACAAATGAATTTGTGTATAGTTTTATTTCTCAAAATTCTAATACCAATATGAATTCTTATTTAATCCCCGCGTTCAGTAGTGCGTAATATTCTGATTAAGTTTATTTTTACGATTCCAAACTACTATATTAAGCATTTTTAATTAATTTTTAAATAAAATTGTTTTAAACCTAGTTAGAACAATTTTTTTTTTTTTGTATTTTAAATAACTAAAAACTTAACTTAATTTTTCATCGTCTTTTACATTTCAACTGAAAGTTCTTTTATAGTTTTTAATAAACTACATAATGATTTGCATTTTTGTTACTATTGTACCTATCCTATGTGTATGATACCTCTACCCCTCCAAAAAAAAAAAAAAACTTCTCAGATTCTTAAAAATAACAATACTAATCGAGTGTTATTACAAACAAATATGATATTGAACAGTGGCGTATTTAGAATGATTTCGTAGCGATCGGGTACAGGAGAAGTAGATTTTTGAAAATCGTATATAAATATAGGTCAACCGGCCGAGTGATAATTCCCTAATCGCGTACACTCTAAATACGCCGTCGGTGTAATACACTGACCTGTTGTCGACGACGGTGTAACGAGACGGTGCAACAGCCTGCCAAATGACGAACGGCTGAGAAGACCGGAAACAGAGTGAACGGCATTCGCCGCCGAGCTTTAGCCAGCGGTGCTGAACTCTTCCGTGGGGCGGCGATGGGGAAGAGGGCGGACGCGATTCGCCGATTGGCTGACGCCACCGCCGCACAGGCTCCTCGTGAGCATAATGCGCCGTGCGTAGGTGTTCAGAGGAGACGACGGTCTTTAATGTATGGTAAAAGAATTCGGAAACGTAACACAAAAATCGTTTTATCTCCCGGCCGTTTTAATATTATTATACACCGTGATCGTACTTTGCGCTAGCACACACACACACACACACACACACTCGCTACAAAGCAATCACTCACACGCGCATAAAATCGCACACTAAAAATCACACACACACACCTAAGTTGGGTCTGGCCACTTGGGTTTCATTAATTCTAGTACGTTTGGCACGTCAAGTGTGAGGGGTAGTGTTGACGCGGCGTATACGGGGTTGGAGGGTCTTAATAATAGATAACCGCTCGACGAGTCCGATCCGTTTCCGTCGCACACATCTTGAAAGTGTATAATATACAATATCTTTTATATTCCCTCATTTCCGCTCTATCGTTTATATCAACAGACAATAATAATATATAGGTATACGTACTACCTCTTTCGCTTTACGGCTCTTCGCGTTTAAGCGTTCGCGGCGGCTACGAATTTCCTCCGCGATTCTCTGTTTAGGGTGTACTCTTCCCAATTAGGTGTTTCTGCATAATTGCTCCATGTCACCTTTTACTTTACAACGTTTCTTAGGTCCACCTCTTGGTCTCTTATTATCTGGATTCCAGTAAATCGTTGGTTTTATTAGTTATCTGTGTTTTCCTACATATAGCGCGCATAATATTAATACATAGTAATCTGGGCACCCGGTAATTATCGGGTTACCTTTTACGTATACAATGTTTGTTTGAATTTTATTATCCGGGTATTGGGTCACAAATAAAATTAATTTTTTTCGTGCTATAAGTGTAACCACATGCTTACAGTATAATATAAACAATATGTTCCAGGGGAAAGTGGCCGGCCGGCGTCATATGAAAGTACTCCAAAAAACCACCGTTAAAGTGGGGCCTAAAATTTTAGATTTTAAGTAGAGCGAAAAAGCTTATGGTTTTACAATAATGTTTATTTTATTTTATTCATTTTTTCTGTAGACAACTTTTCCACTCGCAATTTTCTCCAATTTTAAACGTTAGCACTTTTTCTAAAAGGAAATCTGACCGGGGAGATACTTTGAGGATGTAATTTTTCGATTTTTTTTACGATTAAATTTCCCCTCTACTTTCCCAATATAATAATAATATTATTATTATTATTATTATTATTATTGTTATTGGTTTCTTTTACTATACCCAATAAATCTATATCTTCTATACCATATTATATCCATTTTTGGAGGACTGTGCTACGTGGCCTTTTTCGCTAAAGCAACCATTCATAGGATAACCTTAAAGGTTCACTTTATTTTATACTCATAATATGGTCAAATTACTCAATTGTTTGATCCTTGATAAAGCAAGTTACCCATCACATAATATACATTAGTCTCTGCAGCTACCTATAACATCTCTTTCGCCAACTTCTTGTGCTACAAAAAGATTTCCCTCCAAATACTTATTACTAAACAATTATTATTATGGCTAATTGACTGCACGCTATTTTTTTCTGAACTTTTTAAAGTTATTGAAAATCACGAATTTAATAAAAATAAAAAGTTGTACAACAGTATTTTTAGAAGAATAAATTCTATAAAATCTTTACATTTTTCAAAAATAATACAATAAAAAGATGATTTTTAAGTTTTATACCAAAACATCAAAAAATGAATTGAAATAAAAATATTTATAGTCCTTATCCAAGAGTTGTTGACTAAACAATGTTGAGAATCAACTAGATAATAAAATATTTCATCCATGCGAATTTGGATAAAAACGTAATTATTGTTAAAGTAAGGAAATATTGCCGTAATGATTATCTAATGTGTATAGGTTTTTGACGAGACTATCTTCAAAACATCGTAACTATAATGCCATCACCAGAAAGTTGGATAACAAGAAACATAATAATAACATTACACCAAGGTATACGTAATAAATACTTGACACGATTGTACAATACATATTATTTTAAATTGTATCTAATAATGCACGTGGATACCCTAACATTTTCATCGAAATTGAACACCCGGCAAACATACTATCGTGACAATATTAAAAAAAAAAAAACAAAAAAAAACCTGACGACTCCTCAAATATTTGAAAAGTTTTAAGGTTTAACCTTTTTTTTTTTTTTGAAAACACTATGTTAAAGCGGACAACGCAATTTGGAAACGTCGCGAACACTGTTGCAACGAAAATATATTTTGCAAATTGATTTTATCTTGAAAAAATAAACGCAGGTCACGTTTCGCCGGGAACTCGATTTACTATAACATATAGCAATATTAACGCGGTAACAATAAAGAAGTTATTTTTAATCGTATTCATTAAGTATCACAGAATAATCAATCATTTTCTAGCTGCAATTTCGTTCAGATTTACAATGATAGTATTTTTCCTAAAAAGAATCCTGACTGAAGATATACTAAAGATCATTTTTTGATTTTCTCAAGAATTTTTCCAATAAATGAGAAAAAATATGATAAACCGGGAAAATAGGTGCAATACTAAACAAATATTATTAAAGAAAATATATAACGCATATGCAATTATTTTATGATAATATGACATAATTATTGTTAACAAAGCAACACTATCCACCGAACTCCGCTCAGAATCGTTTTTTCGTTAACAATAGTTAATCGTTGTTTACAGATATGCATTTAATTATCTATAGCAATGACTCCACCTGTTCCTATTATCCTAGGACAGCTTTTTTTTCTGATTATCACTTGTAAAAGTTGTTAAGCTTTTGCGCACTTAATACATAATGCTTAAATTTAAAATTGTTCCGTCTACGTCATTAGACAAAAAAATTCTATTCGAGGTGCCTAACCTCAAATTATTGTTTTTTAAATTAAAATATATTTTTCTTGTATTTTTGTGACTTCCAATCCGAGCGATATTTTAGGTGGGTACTATAGATACCGCTGTTTTAGGTTTTATTTTACATTTCGTCGGTAATTCTTTTTGGAGAAATCTTTTCCAAACTTCAATGGAATACTCATATAGATACTCAGCTAGGTAGATGACTTTATAAAATTTATGTTATAATCTAAGCGTATAATAATTAATATAAACCGATTTTCGAGTAACTTAGTCATTCGAAGTTCGAAAATAGTACAGTGTTTTAATTTATTAATTATTATTTATTATTTCGGTAATATTTTTCATTCACAGTTATCATACCAATTTTCGATTTTTAATCCAGCATGTTTTTATCCGTATTATTGTCCTCTATCATTTTTGAAATCTATTCGAGTTATTTCATTGTGATAGGTTTTAGAAAAAAAAAAATTATAATAACCGAGTAAAATATAGCCGGACAACTTTAAAGTAAAACATAATCTGTAATAATATGCAGTGTTATGACAACCGATGCATAATAACGTACAATATTGATTTACATAAGTTATTACATAATAATATTAGTGTGTATGCTTTTTTACGTTTTTTTTTTTTATAAATTAAAATAGACCAGTGTTTGGAAACCAATAAGCGATGAACGGTGCCGACGACGGGCAGAACAAACGATAAATTAAATTTTTTATATGAAAAATGATTGAAAATGTGCTGAAAAATAACCTTATATTTAATGAAAAGTTATTTATAATATTGACCAAGAATTTCTTGAAAACGTACCAAAAACTGATTTAATATAAAAGGAAAATGACCTTTAATTAATTTAATAAATTTATATTTTTATAATTCAAAAAAATAGGACGTTTTCGGAAAACTTTTCATGTAAAGTTTGTTTTATTTAATTACCTAACTTACTAATGAAAAAAAAAAAAAAAAAAATGTGCAGTGTCCATTTAAAAAATAATTAGGTTAACCAATCCTAAGAAATGTTTGCGAATGCTTAGATGAAATTTGTTTGGTTTCATCGGTCGCACTGATCACAAAATGTTGTGACCATCTCACATAGACGGTGACGATCGGTGAGTTTTCATCATCTCCTCCAGAATTATTATTTCTTGTCGTTAAATTATCGGCGTGACGTCTATAGGACATGTTATTGGAGCCGTTTATAAGTTGTTGTGGCTGTCGTTGTGTCGTTGCCTATCATACAATATGAGTATCTTATTATTTTGCAACGATAGGAGAGGGTGAGTTAAACGGACATCTTCACCGTGTCACCGCCTTGGTGACGACGAAAAAATACTTCGAATTGTAACCGTTATACCGAAATTGTTTATTATCAATTTGTTGTGACCGGTGACAATCAACGAATTTGTGGTTACTGTTTAATAACAGTGACTGTTACTGATTATTGTCGATAACGAATTATCATGGACCTAAACCGTAAATTCAATACCGTTAAAGCCGAGTTTTACCGAGTTTTGACGAACAGCCATTAAAGCGGTCGAGTTCAATGGGTAATAGGTGTAGAATTCGAACCGAGACGATTTTCTGTCCTGCGTCAGGGGGATACGCGTCCGTTTAACCGCAAACGCCGCGCCGCGCCGGCTTTTCGAGAAACTATTGTCTGCAGTCCTTACACAGAGTCTGAGCGACTAATTAAACGGACGAACGCGCACGCACAACACTGCTCTGAAATACAACCGCGAATTACATACAGTATCGTAAGACTTATCGGGCTGTAAGACTGGCGCTCGGCTCTTTGATCGCGATTAAAAATGCCTACCGGAACGGTTTTTCAGAAAACAATGACGGCTACGGGTCGGCGGGTGCGGGTATACGGCCGGAGGAGAGGGACTACTGATCGCCGCTGTAGTCGCGGACCCTCTCGAGAGAATAAAATATACGCGCGGCAATCCGTCGTCGTCGTTGTCGGCTATATATAATCAATACAGCAGCCGGTCCGCAAACAGAGTCGACTATTATAAATACAAGTACGCCGAGAGTGCTATTAGAGGTTTATTTCTCCGAGATTCGCACGGGGCGGTGGGGCGGTGCGCGGGGGGGAGGGGTTGTGTTATACATTATTATTATTTTTTAACATTTCTCGCACGATCTCCATTTGGCCGGTGCGTAAAAAAAATCGGTCGACCGTTCGGGAAAACAACTCCGCGTCGCCCTGCACATGTCGATACACATAATTATTAGCCATACCGTTATATTGTGGTAATTGTGTAGCCGTCGTCGCCCAAGTTCGATTGGGTTGTCGAAATGAAAATAAAAAAAAAAAAATCACTTTTATACGTCTCACCCCGATCGTATATATAATAATTACCGATCTAGGACAAATGGACGTAGTCGTTTAGACGTGGGGACAGGGACAATTGGACGTAAAAAAAAAAAATTAAAAAAATAAATATAAATTGGTCAATAATTTATTTATATATCTGTTATAATACGTAAAAAAATTAAAATTTTTTTTTTAATTTTAATAGATACGCCAACAATTAAAATACAATATCAAAAATATTTATTCATACTAATTAAATGAATAATGAATAATGAATACGTCAAAAATGTATATATAGTATTTAAAAAGTATGAATATATAAAAGTTTTTAATGTGGAAAAATATTATAGTAATGTAAAGAAATATTTTGATCGATTCCGCGTAAAAATGATATTTTAGTTCTACTTTAATAACTTTGCACAAATCTTAAAATTCGTTTATCCGAATCAATAAATTTCTTTAATTTTTTTGGGGGGGGACTGTTACCTGTTTAAGTTGGCTGTAAAATACATCTCGCTCAGTTTGTACTTAGGAAATATGTATTATGAATATAAAATCAGTGGTTTTATAATTTATAAATATAGATAAAAATATAGATTTAATGATTGATTTATATACATTTTTTTTTTCTTTGACGTCCAAACGGCTACGTCCGTTTGTCCCTATTCGAATAATTACAAGATATAAGAATATGCATATTACAACTTTAAACCCAGTCATTACTTTTTGTTTTCCCGGATCGTAATAATATTTGAGAAATTCCTTCGGAAATCGCATTGATTTTGCATTAGTATATTACACGAGTGTTATAATTTTTTAATCGATACGTTATCGACTTGAACCGAAATCTTCACTAAAAAACGATTTACAAAATGTATATATGAACAACCGGCGGTAAAGACCAGATCAGGCCAGTGAAATCAAATTAAGGTGGAACCAGACTGGACCGAACCGTTAATTTTTTTCTTAACTATGCAATACCGAGACCAGATTGTGTTAATTTATATTAAGAGTTAAGACCGGACAGGACTGGATTGGACAAGACCGGATCTGTTAGGGACTAATTTATTATTTATACAAAAGCTGTGCTAGAATAATGGAAACGGGTGCAGCCACTGTTATAGGTAATTTAATGTACCTATCTGTAAGCAAAGATTAACCATTGTTAACGAAAAAAAAAATGTATGCCCGGCATGTTTCTATAAATCCGCCAAATTTTATTGTGAAAATGATATTATAAGAGTTCGAATTTAGGATTGATAGCAGAAATAAATTTGTGGAAAAATAAGTTGGCCAAAATTTAAAAAAATCTACAAATTACAGCTGAAGCATTAAATAAAAAAACTTTTTTACCAGGTTACTAGTTTCTACAACCAGAGCAGAGAGATCTTTTTCAACTTTAAAAAGGTTAAACAATTAATAACAATCCATTATGCCTGAATTACGTCTAAACGGTTTGATCATGTTGACATACACAAACAGATAATGATAGATATAAACCAAGTTAATGCCACATTTGAATGAAAAAAAGAGGACGGAGTTAGAAGATTTGTCAAAATGACAAAATAATTTTTATTGATTTTTCGTTCATCAATTATAATGAAAATATGTGATAGAATTTTAATTTTTCGTTTCAACATTTAATTTTTTATTATTATTATAGAGAAGATTATTTTTTTTAAAATAAAGGAATTTGTTTTAGATGTGTGTTTTTAAAGTTTCCACTCATGATTATTTTTTTGAATATTAATCACATTAATTTTTTAAGACTAAAAAAGGTCATACAATCATGATGGACTATACAGAACAGTAGTATACCCCATACAAATATTTTAGATCCGCCACTGGGTAACATTGTAATCATTTTTTTATACTTAAAATTGTGAACGGACCAGATTGGGTAGAAAAAAGACTCGGACCGAAACGTGCAGAGTTCTAGCGGATGCCTATACAATAATAATAATAATTTAGGTATATATTTTATGGATAAGAAAGTTTTGCGGCGATTTTCGAATTTATCTACAGACTCAACTGCTCAGCGGCGATGAATCAGTGACGTCAGTTAGGCCGTGTTATCAGCGATTCATATAGTCCCCGAAACTTGTCATCGCGAGCATGCGAGATAACCACCGTCCGAAATAATCGCTTTGATCTTTTGCATTTTCTTGTTTCACAGCAATTATTTAATGGGTACCTGCCCTTTTTGTTGCCGCGGCCATGAAACGCGTCTACGTGAAATGATCAAATAGATCTTTTATCCGTGGACTTCGTTCGTCGAACCGGAACGCGACCGAAAACTATTATCACTGTATACACTACACATTGTTCGTCGCGCACTGAAATTAATATTTATCAACGCGCAATATTTGTTGTTGTACGTTTGCAGCGAAACGTGCTTAATTCTACGCGACAAAGATGAATCTCCGGGTTTGCGAATTTTCCATTCGGGGCTTCCGGAAACATAATTTCGCGATTGCTAAATACACAAAAAACGTAATTAATTTGTATTAAATAAGGAACATCGACGTTGACGAGTAATACTGTACGGGATGTCGAACGGAAGTCGTAAACAATTAACTTTAAAAAAAAAAAAAAAAAATAGTTAATATAGATATTATACTGTTCGTTTTTTTTTAAAAAAAAAACCGTTTGAAATCCCCTTATCTGCGGAAAAGAAAATACATTTCTTTTTTTTTTTGTAAATTCTAATCTAATAGAGTGTGGTGGTTGCCAAACAAAATAATATTTTAACGCCTACGCCAGTACTTATACTTAGGTATTATACGAAATTCTCGCATCAGTTAACATACTTAATGTGTACAGTTTTATCGAGTAAACAGCGAACGCTGAAGTTTAAATTTACATTGTATTATATGAAAAACAATAATAATAAAAAAAGAAAAGAAAAAAAGACAGTTGTATTTTATAATTTAACATTACATAATACAGCCGACTACTTCCTTTAGGGGTTATCGACCACTAACTCTAATTCCATTACACTCACTTGGTTCTCCGTTTATTCTCCCTGTCGGCTGTTCTTATTTGTCTGACACACCGTTTTTGATTTCACGTCTTTCCTCATCACTAGCACATTCCTTCCCGATTTCAAACGTAGCCCTCCGAAATGTAACTTCCCTTTCGGGTTTCCTTTTATTACCGTCACGCATAAAAGTGGATTATTTTTCCTTTTCCTTGTGTTTCTTCTCAATGGCTAAATTATTAATGTCTCCTATGTAAATATTTGCCGTAGTTATTATTTGAGTTTTAATTTTAAAAATAAATTATATAAGTTTTTTTTCATCAAAATGAAACGTTTCAAGATTCAAATGAAATTTTCAAAATTAATTTTAATGCAATTTTAGAATTCTTGGCAATTAATAACATCGCTAAAAAACTCTGCAATCGTAGCACCAAAACACGGAAGGCATAAAACTACTTAATGAAAATAAACACTGGTAGCACAAGTTTTGCATAATTCAACAAGTATCACTCTAACCATTTAGACAACGTAACTGTGGCAATCCAATGTAGTGGCGGATCCAAAGTTGAATTTTTGGGGAGGTTTCCTAAAAATAGGAAAGAAATGGTTATTACTTATTAAGGGAATGTTAATAATTTTATTATGGTTGGATTAGGAATCGTTTATCTAATTACCAATCTATAATAATTATAGTATAATATATTTTAATTATTTTTATTTTAAAATTATTTCTATAACACAAAATCTAATCTACACTTATTTTTAGAAGCAAAATTATTTATGATTTCATTTTTATCATACATATTTAAATCTTTATATACATTTAAAAGACATAAATCATTTAACCATTTGTGTAAGTAAAAAGAGACTGTGGAAGAGGTCTGGGTGGGAGCCGGGGTCTCCCTGGATCCACCACTAATCCGATGGCACAGTTATAATCGTTCAACAATAAGTAATCATAAACATCCCCATTAAATCTTCCTTCATAGGTGAAGGCCTAGTCAGTGTTTCAGTTACACACAATCCAAGCAAAAAAATTTTTTTTATGAAAACCATAAAAATCATAGCATTTTAGCACTGTTTCCTGAAATACACAAATATAAAAACAATTTATCCCATCTACGGTTATCTTCTCAGGTTGGAATATGTCATATATTAATCTATAATAAACAAATGGCCCAATTTAATGTACAGTGTTAGTTGTATGTTCCCTGCATGATAATATCAATAATGTTTAAACATCGTCGCCAAAACCCAAATGATAATACTGATTATTTACACAATTTACATCCCAAGTTATAAATTTTAGACTAATGTTTTTTCAACAATGACAAAATGTTAATGTTTTAAATACCAAATAATAAGGTAGATTTGAATTAGGATTCAATTAGAGGGTAAAAAAATCAAATGTTACTGTTATGTTATAAATAATCTATATACATAGGTAAATATAATGTATTCGTATGAATTATTATTTCATTATATTATTATAGCTAACATAATTATTTAATTTTATTAAATAAAGAGTAATTTATGCATATACTGAATATTAGTCAACCATAGGTATGTCTTACATCATCTGACAAATTATTTAATGATAACTCCAGGTGGTGGGTATATTGTCGAATAATAAAAAAAGTCATGTGTAATGTGTTCAAAATTCTAATTAATCATATGTATTTCTTATTATACTGTATATCATAAGTTAAAAGATATTTGAAAAAATCATTGTTCAGCCTAACTACTACAGACATTATATACACAATAAATTACAGTACACAACTACATGTAAGTTTTTAAATAACCTAAGCTTCTTTGATAATGAAATTATATTTGAACATTAAACAATTTCGGTATTCACTTAATTATTAGTTAATTATTAATTATATTAGTCAAAAAAACTTGGAACTTGAAAACATATTTTAACTCAATTACTAATTATTTATTAGGTACTTCATAGTAATTGATATATTTAACAAATGCATTATATAGAATTTCATAATCTTCAACTATGGTGGTATGTATTTAGTCTGTTAAAGTATTATTTTTGCCCAAATTATAAGAACATGATAATGATACATATACTCCAATGTTAAAGAAGATGAACATAAAACCTAGCAAAGTAGTTTGTTATTATATCATTTGTAGCCACTCGATAAGTCATGTTCCAACCTGAATAGATAACCGCATGTGGTCCCATCAAAAATGCTTGAAAATTTGACCAAGATTCACAGTAGGTTTTATTTAGGGCTGATTTCATAAGTCATATTTGAACTTAAATCAGCATTTCGGTCCATTATACATAAACAAAATTAAAGTTATCATATTTGTTTTATAAGTGTTTGGAGTTATTTAGTGTTTTAAAATCAGTTATTTGTCAAGAATATGACATTATTACCATTTAAAGGCCAAAGTTTCAAAGAATGTTCACTATTAATACGAGGATACATGGATATAATGGAATATTTTTGGCAATTTATGAAATTTAACACATAAAATAATTATTTTTAAATTTTTAATATTTATACATTTAAAAAACACACTCACACGCACGCATACACACACAAACATTTGCACGCACACGAGGTATAACAACCACGATTTCAATTATAATATATTATAGGTAATCAAAAATTATGAGCACTAATACACATTTTGGCATCTATTATAATAATATTATTGTGTACAGACAAGTCGAATCTATAATTATAAGTATAAATAATAATAAAAAAAAATAAAACACACATTCATACACTGTTGTTTCGTATAATAGTCACTTATACAACATAATATATATAAATATATTATACTAAATTTTTGTATGTACAGAAAAAAAATTCATCAGAAATGCAGTGTGGTCGGTGTACGAACACACAGCAGTCACAAAAATAATAATATCAAAATAAGATTGCACAATATTTATATATAATTATGTATTTATAATAGTTAATTAATAATAAAAAGCTACGCGATGTTAATGGTTATTATAATAGTTATGTTTTTTTTTTTGCTTTTTTTTTTAAAAAAAAATTGTTTTTAACATATGACTAGGTCATATTATTTTATCTATAATAAAAGGAAAGAGATTTAAAGGGTGAAAATGGCCAGCCTGAAAATATATCACAACCATCAGACATCAAATATGGCAACTTAAAATAACAAACAAATTTTAAAATAATAATAAAAATTATCTATCAGACACATCAAATCAAGAGTCATAATAATAATAATAATAATAATAATAATAATAATAATAATAATAATAATATAGTCTACTGTTTGGAAATTTCTGCTCTTTTTTTTTTTTTCTATTAAGACTTCTATATTTTAACTCATATTGCTATAATAATAATAATAATAATAATAATAAAATAATAATTATAATAATAATAATCATTTTTATATATCACAACTATAAAATTATCTATAAAAACAAAATTAGACCCGCAATGTATCTTTTTCATATGGCAATCACATATTATATGCCACATAGATGGGGTCGAGTTGATCGGCTAAGAAGCCATCACGTAGGTGCATGCGCTGTTTTTCCCCACGGGAGTTAATTGGTACCACGCCAGGATCGACTACTACCGCGACGCCGACAATCAAATGATGTTCTTCGAGTACCACATTTGTCACTAATGGCACCAAGTCGAGTGCTTCACTCTCGTTACCGTCCAGCTCGACAACGACTACCAATAGATTGGTCCAAGCGAACACAGCACTGAAATCACAGTCAAAATAACATTTTATTAACTAATTGATATATTTAATTGATTACAATAAATGGCGTAAACCATCACTAAAAATCAAATTTTACCATTCAGCAATTTTGCGATGGCATCGCATAACACTGTTTTCAATATCAATCGGATGATACCGCATACCTCGAAGAATAATCGTTTCGTCCAGTGCACCAACTACGAAAACAGCGTCATGGAGTTCTGGAAAACACAATAAGATACACGTCAAGAATTATTCATTTCAATTTACTATTCATTATTCAGCTTATTCAATGTAAAGTCCCATATTATAGAGTGTCTACTATTGTTACTTTATGTGTGTTATTTAGTTTTAACTTATAGTATTGTGTACCTGGCATTTCAGCAGGAACAGCAGCGTTGCTACTCAAAGTTGATTGGTTGGATGATGCGAGTGACAAATCGCTAAGAGACATTATATCGATAGTATCTGTCGAATGTAAAGCAACACTGGAAGGTGTAGAAGTTGATTCAGTACGTCTTAAAAATCCGAGATAGCCAGTTCTGGCATAAACTTCACCAGTACTGCCTGTCACAAGTCGGGCACTGAACTGTTCTGATCCATTGCCGTTGTCTGATATTTCATTTCCAAATACACTGAAGTATCCACTAGCGTTATGAGGCGCCTGTACCCAAATTTCTCCTAAGTGGGAATCGCCACAATGACCTTTCGTGTCCGGATGTGCAATTATGACTTTGACCCCAGGCAATAATTTCCCAGACTCGAGCAAGCACAAAGAATGTGGACTACCACGTTCCACCAATGAAACTCTGTCATTTCTCAAGGCCCGGAGATCGACGTACACACACGATGGTTCTGGACTGGACGCTCCTTGCAGACATATAGCTACATTGACTCGGCAACCAAAACTCGTTGAAACGGCGCGGGGACTAAGCCCCAGAGCAGAGAATAGTTTCGAAAACGATGTTGTCAAATTTATTCGAGGTCTTTCTTCAGCGACCACAACACATGTTCGCACACATGCTAAATTTACACCTCTTTGTTTTAGGAGCCCCACGGATGACGCCAATCCTTTGGTACACAGTTCCATTACACCTACAATCAAATAAAAATGCTACTATGTTAGTAACTTGCATTAATGGCATCAACAAGCAATTATAATTTGACTAGTCAGAATATCACTCACCATAAGAGCAAAACGTATCTCGTACTTGATATTGGCTTACAGCTGATAGCCATAAACCTGGGTTGATTTCTATTTCAGATGGTGGTATAAGAATTGAATGATGACCAGAATATACACTAAAATAAATTTATACAAGTTCATAATTAATGAAAATAAATAATAATACTATTTAATGTGTATGTTTTATCTGTAAATAATAAATACTAACCTGCTTAAGCACCATAAGGCAAATCCTAAACCACAGTAAGGATCTAAGCACAGAGCGATATGTCTAGATGGGTAAAGTTCACACGCCAATTTCATAGATCTGCACAACGATGTGACGGCAGCATGAGACATTTTTATTCCAGCCAACATTCCCGTAGTAGAAACACTGTACAAATATAATTAATTTGAAACAAATAACTCCACTATACATATTATTATTATTGTCTATACATACCTGAAGTCAAGATAAGCTAGAAGTTCAGCAGTTGGTGCTCGGTAAGTTGGTACAATTTTTTTCTTTGGCATATCATCAGTATCCAAAATGATTGGCCATGATTTCACATCAACTACATTGCTGGCTTCTTTGGACTTTAATAGTTTTATGATATTTTGATTGGACAAGACTAATGTAGACTTGCTAACATCTACAATCATTCGAACTGTTGGTAGAGTGGTTTGAAGATTCTGTGGATGAGGGGGTCGTATTGTCACAGGAACAGCACCTTAAATGGAAAATAACATTACAAATTAGTATACAGAATATATTTGCATTATATTTCATACAATATATATATTTTATAACTTACCGACATACAAACAGCCATAAAATGCACATATGAGATCAATTCCTGGAGGGAAGATTAATGCAACGTGATCACCAGTATTCACTTTAGCTCTTTCGTTCAATAAGTTGGAGACTTTTTCTGCCCGTTTATGTAACTGTGAACAAGTGAGTGTAGCTGCTGCACTACCCTTTGCATTTACCAAAGTAAATATAACATGATCAGGATCCCGAATCGCTCGCATTTTTAATATTTCGGATATAAAGAGATACTGAAAAAATAAAATCAGAGTGATTTAATAAAATCATTTTACCGTATGATTTTACTAGTGACGAAAAGTTATAAAAATGTTTTTGTTGTCCATTATAGCCAATCAAGCTGAAAATCTATTCTACAACCTAGTAAGTTTATTATTTTTCAGCATATTAATTGATTTCCAGATAATTTAAACTATTGTTTATTAAAATAACATTCAACAATTATTTTCCAAATTTTAATTTTTTTAAATGTATTATTGCATGTAATTTGTAGATTGAAGAGTATATTATTGATTTTGCTCTAATAATTTATTATTCCAGTTATTGTGTATGCATTTTCACTTACAGTTTTGTTAGAATCTGATTCCATATCGATGATACCTATATCTCGACCTTGTGCTGTTGCTAAACGATTACCTTGAACTATTGTGCCGACCATGACTGAAGCCGGTCCCACGTCTGAAACAGTGCCACCAACTAGGCAAAATTATATGAGAACTCTTTTTTAATAATTTGCCCCGATCCCAAAAAAGTTAACGACGTTAATTTGTATAGATACCTGAATGCACTTCTCGCGGTTTTGGTAAGTTTGTAACACACGTGTGAGGACACATTAACACGTTGGCCGGGTGAAGGTTTCCATCTAAAAATCTTCTCTTACATTCGGATAAATGAATTCCACCCAATGGTGTTTTGGGAAGATAATTGGGGGGCACTAGTGCTAAACAGTAGAGCCCAACTTGGTGAATGGAATCGACTGCTTGTAGGACTCTGGACATCCACTGGAAACTTTCTTCTTCACTGCATTCAGG